GAAAATGCAGTGCCAGTCATTTTTCTTATCGGGAATAGCAGTACTCTCCATTTGTATTGTCATGATAATAATAGACAGGGAAAAATAATAACATCAGTTAATAATAATGTTGTTCAGTTGTTTCAGTCGTGTGCAACTCTTGGTGACCCCATTTGGGGTTTTCTTGGGAAAGATACAGGAGTGGTTTGCTGTTTTCTTCTCTAGCTCATCTTACAGATGAGGAAACTAAGGCAAACAGGTCTAAGTGACTTGCCATGGGTCATACAACTAATAAGTGTCTGAGGCCAGATTTGCACTCAAAAAATGAGATTTCCTGACTCCTGGCCTGGTACTTTGTGCACTATGGTGCCACCTAGCTGTAATAGTAATAATAGCTCACATTTATGTAGCACTTTAAGATTTGCAAAGTGCTTTTCAAATATTATTTCATTTTATCCTCATGACAACTCTAGGAGGTAGGTGCTATTATTATCCTCATTTTATATTTGAAAAAAATAAGGCAGAAAGAATTTGTGACTTGTACAGGGTTACACAATTCTTAAATGATGGAGGCTGAATTTGAACACAGGTTTTCCTGATTCCTGGTCTAGCACTCTGTCGACTGTACCCAGCCACTGCTGGATATGTGAATGTGTTCCTGATTCTGGCGCCCTCTGACCCCGAATGCCATTATTCTATTAGCAACTCTCAGTGACTGACTGAAAAAGATGTTAGTCCAAGAAATGGCCATTCTAGGCCTTCCTATTTTCCTCTGCTTTAGGGAAGGCATTCAAACTACTACTGGATGCCTCAGTCTCATAAACTTTTCTCATTGTGAATGTCCTATCTTTGAACTCTCCTTCATGGCCATAAGGGCTGTGACATTTAATTTCAGATGGTGGGCAGTCAGTGATATCCATCAGGTATGTGACTTCTTTGGGAAGTTGATATAAACCAGTTTTCATCAAACCTTGAGGCATACTAATTCACCTCCCTAATTTTAGTATGAGTTGTTCTTGGGTTAATGATTTCTAGAATTAGTGACCTCAAACTTTCTGTTTCCATTTCCTTTGGCTATTGTTGCTTTTTTCTCAGAGTTTTCAAATTTTTATACAAAAAAGAAAATGCTCCAGAGCTTTACAGCATTTTTTTTTAGTCTACCTCATTGACTTTCCTAATTATAATCAAGAGATCTCGACCCTGTTTTCGTCCGTAATGCAAATTGGAGGAGGCTTGGTTTTTGATGGTCTTTGATAGCTATGAAAAGAATTTTTCAGGAGACAATGGTTTGCTTTTTCCCTTTTAGTAAAGAAAAGAAGGTAAGGTTATTTTTGTCTGTTTGACTGTTATTTATGCTTAGGTTGACCGAAAGTATGAAATAAGAGAGGAATTGAGACAAAGTACTGAGAGACTTCAAAACCTAATATGTGGTATGGTGGTGTTGCTGCTGCTATTTTTCCCTGGGGTTTGGGAGACATATTGTCAATAAAAAGATATTGGAAAAAATCAAGACAAATTAGGGAAGCCTAGATTTAGAGCTAGAAGGAATCATGTAATTCAAGCCTCTCATTTTACAAATAAGAGAAATAAACCCCAGAAAAGAGGAATCAGGTGGCCAAAAGCCACACCAGTGGTAACTGAGCTAATAGGTAGACTAGCTAGGATTCAAACCCAGTTCTTTGAACTCTGGAGCAAGCTCTTTTTTGAAACCCAGAAAGGCTGCCTGATTTACATAGGGTCTCATGTGCCTGATAGACAGCAGTTAGAGTTTGAGTCAGTAGTCTCTGATGCCAAATCAGTCCTTTTTCCACTTCACCATGCCTCGTTAAAAAAAAAATTACCAGCTCTTTTAAGTATTCTGAACAAAACTCATCATCAGTGAATATTTACTAACCAGTCTTTTGGTACTGTGTGGTATTAAGTATCTTCTTACCCTGTTTAAGAAATATGTCAATTTGAATGATGAAATCTTTTCCCCTTTTCTGTGTGAGGTCATCTTGTTCAATTTCCAAAGGCAAGAAGCATTCTTATAACCTAATAGCCGTAAGCAAAACATGCCCTCTAAAGCAGAAAAGAATTTGTAAACACTTTGTTGGAGAAACACAGAAAAATATTAACTAACCTAAGGATTTCATGTAAACATTTTCATATATAATTTTGCCCCACTGTTGAAGTTGAATTTTAAATATCTTCCATTAAAATATACAATGAAGAGTCAGCTATGTTTTACTGATTTATTTGGATGAGTCAATCTTCATTAAATGAGCACACCTTTACAAAATCAATCAATCTTATCTTATACCTCAGCACCTTCAAAATAAAATGCTCTGTTCTTTGCCTAGCTGAGTTTTCAGATAGTATTTCAGGCTGGAGCTTTATGCTTTTGTTAATTCACCAGCTTCTTTTCAAGGATCAGATTCCTGGTGAACAAGCCCACTGCTCTCCCCAGTCTACTTGTTTCACTCACACTGTCTAACAGAGTAGTAAATACAAAGCCTGAAACAGGGGAGGCAGCCTAGAGTGTGGAGTGACGCAGGTAAAGAAGAGAAGAATTGCTCTCAAGAAGGAGTTAGGTGCAGTGGGTTATGGCTAGGACAGGAGTTTCAGCTACTGGTGCAAAGGCATGGGACAGATCTATTAAACATAGCAGACTTTCATTGCCCTGATTTTTAATGAAGAAAAGTATATGAATGGTTTTTGGAGCCAAGTACTTTAATAGAAACTTTCTTTAACCACTGTTTTAAAGGACTTAGCCATGTAACTGTAATCTAGGTTGTATTTGGGATAGGGGTCAATTGGGAATTAGAAGGGAGGCCAGTGGAAAGGAGCCAATGGAATTAAAAAGTTTGGGCTTTGTTCCTCTTAAATCTCTTAAAGTTTTTCTTTAGATGCCTCACCTGCATTAGAAAATTTTTAAATCATCCTTTACTAGGAAAGGTTTTATTTTTTGAGAGTTTTTTTTTTCTTTTTTAATTTGGAGATTACTGCTACAGTGTTCATATGGCCTATTCTTGGAAATTACAAGTAAGTATGGATGTTAGCATATAAAATATTCTTTTAGGAAAACTAGAAAAATGGTTAAACCATATATTTAATTCTTGGTCATTTTAATCTAATGTTTTGGGAACTTCTTAGACATACTTATCTAAGAAGTTCCCAAGACACCAAATTGAGTACTTTGGAAATTCTTTTGCAATCAACTTTTTTTTTTTTTAACCTAGCAAAGGAATGAATACAGATCAGCCGGAATTTACTAACATGAAGTACAACTAACTGACTGTCTTAGAAGGTTAAAAACTTTAAAAGCAGGTCCTGTTTTTATGTAACAGACTGTACTTATTTTTGTATCGTTTTTAGAATGAAAATATGCCTGTATTGTAGTTTCATATTTAAAAAAAAAAAGACAGACATTACTTTTTCTTCTAAATATAATTTCTTGGGAATATTGTCGCAATGTAACTGAAAAAAAGTTAGCTAAGTTCAGCTGCTGTCCTTTGCAGAGAGTTTAAATTCAAAGAGGTTTGCATTAAGGGCAAAGATTTATTAGCAAACAAAATCAACACTATGCTTTAGCTTATAATATCTTGGGTCTATATATTCCCCCATAACTTAACTATATGATCTTCATATTTTGATAGAATCAAATTTAGCATAATCTTAGAATATACAAACTTAACTGCTATACTATAAAACTAATTCATTTTGGTGACTAAACTAGTCTGTTGGGCATGGTAGATTTTGTAAAAAGCTATCTTCTGTAAGAACTATCCAGATTTTCATTTTTTTTCTTTCAAAATATATATTCTGAACTTTTAAGCATGGGGGAATTGTATACTTTTAAAAATTCATTCCCCAAACTAACCCTAAGCATTTTTTTAAAAGCCTAATTTTCACAGTATGCTAATCCTCTGGGCATTTGTTTATCTCAATTGTCTTGTGTTCACAGGAAGAACAGGCAGCCAAAGTGAAGGCAGAAAAGATCCGAGTGGCACTGGAGAAGATTAAAGAAGCCCAAGTGAAGAAGGTGGCCTGGGGCTTCAGGCTGGCTTGGGGTTTTATTAATTTATAAAATGTCTACTACGACATAATGGATTTTGGGGGTGTGTTACGAAGGAAAACAAGTTTAAAGTTTTTCTGAAATAAATATTGCTTGAGACCAGCCTAATCTTAATTAGATTAGCAGCCTGGTTCATAATTTCAGCCTTGTGTGCTTCAATACAATCCTTAATAGATAACAATCAGATAGTCTACTTGCAGGATTGTTGACAATTCATTTCAGTAAACATATATTAAGCACCTACTGTGTGCCAGACACTGCTAGGCACTGGAACAACAAGCAAATTAAAGCTAGTTCTAAGGGATTACAAGTATTTGTTTCTATATTTAAATTTTTTTTAATTGCTTTCGTCATTCTTTTAAAATAGAAGACAGTAATCTCCACTTTATAGGAACCTGTCAGAAGTTGCTACTTGACATATTTCACCCAGGAAACTAGAAATATTGCTACAGATGCAGTAGTTGATAGAGAACAGGAACCTCATTTATATAACATTACACACATGTGTGCGCTTTTTAAAATATTAGGGGGGTTCAGCCCTTAATTTAATTTCTCCATATTGTTTTAGATAATTTTCCGCAACACCAGTTCTAATACAAATTTCAAATATTTTACTGCTTATTTCAAACCAGACTTTTTATTTAGGGTTAGGTTTTTTTCCCCCTTTTCTTGAACTATAAAGAAAATACAGCCAAACGAAAATTTCAGAAGAGAGCCATTTTAATTGTATGTTTGTGAACTGTATGTCAGAATGGCATAGAATTAGAAGTGTATTCAATTAGCCAGGGGACTAGAAGCTGTGGCAGGGTCTGTCTACCAAGCTGAAAGGCCTAGCGAACCAAGCTAAGGTCAGAGGCTTCTCAGAAGAGAAGGCAATAAATACTCTGAGCAACAGCAATGGGGGTAACTATTAACTAAAGCATTAGTTATGCTTAGACTGCTGGAGTCACAGACCTTTTGAAGTAATGGATGTTAATTATCGGGGGGGGGGGGGGGGGGGGGAAGGACTTCTCAGACCATTTATTACATTAGCCAGTTTGGAACTCTTAGAAGGCTTGCTAAATTTATGTAATTGATTAGGTTATGTGCCTTGCAGATGGCAATGGCCAACAGATGTTATTTCATTTGTTAGCAATGCCTCTGTTCACTTGATGACATTTAGGCACATGTTACTTTTCTTGGCTAAACTTTTAATATGTCTTTCTGGTTAATACAACTTTCTAGTTATTGCAACAAATTCAGCAAACTTTACAAAGTGCCTACAGTATGTACAGTAGTGTGCTCGAGGCTGGAGATAGAATAGAAAGAGTCTTTAAGGAACTGAAATTGTAATGGGGAGGTAAAACCTGTACTACAAGGACAAGTATAGAGGAACTCTGTAAAGAGAAAGAGCTTCACAATGGGGCAGCTCAGGGAAGACTTCTAAGAGAAGGTGGCCCCAAGCTGAACCTTGAAGAAAGATAAAGATTCCTAGGGGCAGAGTGGAGGAGGAAGTACATTCCATGCATTTGGGACACCTTGTGTAAATGTATAAATAGAAGAGGAGATAAAATGGCAAGTTCAGGAAATGGCTAGGAGTTCAGTTTGGTTAGAACATGGAATAACTTTCTTAATTTTCAACCAAAACATGTCCTTAAAAAAAAAAGCCTTAAAATAATTCAAGAACACAAGTATTGTAAGAATCTATTTTAAGATTTTTACCCTACCTTGTTTTGAATTCTATATCCTTTTTTTCTTTATATAGAAAAGGCAGCTAGGGGGCAAAGTGGATAGAACACCAGGCTTGGAGTCAGGAGGACCTGAGTTCAAATCCGGCCTCAAACCAGACACTTTTGACACTTACCAGCTGTGTGGCCCTGGGCAAGTCACTTAACCCTAATTGCTTCACACACCAAAAAAAAAAAAAAGAAAAGGCCTGCCATTTTTTTCACTCTTTTCCCCCTCCAATAAACAACAAAAACCTCATTCCTTCAATTTAGTTCATCCCAGCTAGATATTAGGAGGCAGATAAGCCAATAAAGTAAAAGGATGATAAAGGTTTTTGTTGATGATTATATTTTAAGAGTTTTTTTGTTTTTTATTTTTCTTTTTAAGAAGCAGCCTGGTATAGTAGAAAGAATGCTGGTTACAAGGCTTTCTACTCTTGCCCTGTAGTTTTAATTTGGGCTGAGGTGCTTTGAACCTCAGTTTCCTCATCTATAAAACAGGAATAATAAAGCCCCTTAGGATTACTATAAAGCTCAAATGAGATTGTATATGTATATATATTTTATGTGAATTGAATATAGATTTTCAAAAATTTAATTTTTATTTAGATATTGTTACTAATAAAGAATGACTTGGAAAAAAATTACTTTCATAATGTTTTTTGTTTTTTAAATTTTTTATCTGTTACAGCTTGTAATTAGAGTCCACATGTCTGATGACAGCTCTAAAACAATGATGGTAGACGAGAGGCAGACAGTGAGACAAGTACTGGATAACCTGATGGACAAGTCACACTGTGGCTATAGCTTAGACTGGTCACTAGTAGAGACCATCTCCGAATTACAAATGGGTTAGTAATTTTGTTGTACTAGTCTTTTATATCTTTTTAAGATCAGTTGTCTTACTCTCTATAAAAGCATACTTTAAAAATCCTATTTATTGTTATAAATTTGGTTGTAGTTTTTTCATAATTTGGATTTTTTTCTCTGTGTTTATAGCATCTGATTCGTCTAATTGTTGCTTAGATTATAATGTAATAGAAGACTATTAACCATATCCATGCCATTTCACTCACGTCTTTATTGTGGACAGAACAAAGCATGAAAAATACTATATTTCCTTAGAATTGTGTACAATCAACCAATCATTTTATCCTAATACAATTATGCTCATGTTGCTTATGTCTGATTTTTCAGAGATAAATGGAAAACCTTTTAATGGGAAGAATATAAAAAGGGTCTTACATCAAAAGTGGTTTTTGTATTATAATTTTAGATTCCCAAAGTTACCTTGATGCCATTATGGCATTATGGTAAATTTAATTTCACCTTACTTTTTGTTATTTTATCGATTTATTTCCATTGTTGTATAACATATAACATAGCTTTGCAAACTATAAAACACTATATATATAAAAATTATCGTTGTTGTTATTCCTGTGTGACCATGGGTAAATCACTACCTCTCTTTTGGCCTAGATGACCTCCAGCATCCCTTCTAGTTCTAAATCTGTGATCTAATGATGATGGTTTTAATGGAGGAAGTCCTTAATATGGTATTGAAGAATAAAATCTCTTACCAGAAACTACTTTAGCTTCTATAAGAGTGTAATATAAGTCCAGTGTAAATGGCATAGCAGATTGAGCTCTGGACTTGGGAGTCAGGAAGACCTGAGTTTAAGTGCTACCTCACATATTAACTTAACTGTATGAACCTGTGTGAGTTACTTAGCCCCTCACTACCTCTTTTACCTCATCTATAAAATGGGCATACTACTTCACAGGAATTGTTCTGCAGTTTCAAATGTGATAATTTAAAGTGCTTTGCAAATTTTTAAAGTACTATGCAAATATTCTCTATTATTATTATTATTATAGCCCCTGAATCAATAAATATTCCAAAGTAAATACTCACTTTCTAAGAAACTAATCTTAAGTTTTTTTCCTCTAGAGTTTTTTACCCTCCAGTATTTCCTTAGGTTTTTTTTTTTTTTTAATTTAAATAGAGCTGTTAAAGTTGCTAGTGACTATTGATTTTTAATTTGTATCCTTTGGAAATTAGTTTAGATGAGGAAATCTGATTGGCCTGTTTTTTCCTTCTGTGTATAGGTAGTGGTGAATATTGAGCATTGTTAAAGTCAGTGCTATAATTTACTAATTTTCTAAGTATAAATCAATTGGTCGGTAATTTTTAAAGCGCCTTCCATGTATCAGACACAAGGCTAGGCACCGGGGATAGATAGAAAGATAAAAATTAAACAGCCCCTGCCTTCAAGGAGTGATATTTTATCTGGGAAGATAACAAGTAATTTTGTAAGTATATAAAAGTAAATGCAAAGTAATGGGGGGGGGGCTCTAAGTGGAGGATCAGGAACTGCCTTATGTACAATATGTGCTTGAGATGAACTTGGAATGAAACTATTGATTCTAAGAGGCAAAGGTGATGAGGGAATGCATTTGAATTGGTGTCCTACTTAAATCCAAAATCATATATTTTTATTTAAAATGGTAATACTAGTGCCTCTGAAATATATTTTGATGGCCTTATGGTAATATTAACACTAATACACCTTTGTTGATCCAGAAACCAAGGTGCTGTTGGAAATAAAAATAGGGGTTCTGGTCTTAGAAGGAATCACAAATTAAGTATTCATACCCTATACCCAAACCCACTTTTAATTTGGAAAGGTTTTTCAAGTAGCCTTTTTTCTTGACCTTTTTTCTTCCATTATATCTATATGTCTATCCTTCAGCTGCTTTATCATATTATTATTTATTTAATAAAATTTCCTTGTTTCCTTTTTTTTCAAGCTAAAAAAACTCATCTTTGGAGATTATCTCAACACTATAGGAATTGGCTACTTCTATTAACCATGTATGATGATTTACTTCATTAAGGTAGCAATAGTTGCTTCAACCATGGTGTGCTATAGTGATTTTATATTATTTATGCTGTCACTGGCACCACAAAATTTCATAAAATTTTAATGAAAATCATATTTTGTGTGAGTATGTTTTAAGGGGAGGAGTACCCAACTGACAAGAATGTCTAAAAGTTAGAATAGGAATGCCTTTTCATTATTCATAGCTACTTATTTGTCCATTGTGTATGATAGATAGCCTGATTATGTCTTAATATGTAGCACCTATTGTTTCTGCAACTTAAAGTTAGGAACATTTTTTTGTTTTTGTTTAAGAAATAGTGTTTTGAAGATAGGCTTAAAATCCATCTTAATTTCACACTCCCATTTATAAGGTTATAATGAATCTAAGGTTACAATGATTGCTTCATCTAAAATTAAGCTACCTTTGTTTTATATAGTAATCTAAATTCATTTAATAAACTGTTGACCATTCTTAAATCTCATTCCAAATCAGCCAAACATTATTCCTCTTCAATACTGGCTCCTTCTGATTTCCCTGTTTCTTTAATGGGCACCAGTCACCTAAGTGACTGGTTTTGGTTTTTTTACTTTGCTTCATTCTTATCCCTTGCCAAATCTTAGGAGCTTAGGGCTAGAAAAACCTTTCATTCTAGAAGCTGGTTTAGTCCAGAGATGAGGAAACTGAAGTTTGAAAAGATTCAAACTAGGTCTCCTGAGTCCAAATCCAGCATTCTTTTCACTGCCCTGCCAGGTATTCAGAGACAACTAATTCATCTTCATCATGAACATCTCTGAACATATCACATTTTTACAAAATCAAAAACCTTCCCCAGTGTTTACCAAATAAAACCCAAGCTCTTTAGCTTGATAAACAAAGACCTCTAATAATCCGTTTCCAGCCTCTTTCCCCTCCAACATCTATCACAATGACTTACATATAGCATAAGTTAAATATTTGTTGAATGATTTCTCCACATCTTGAATCTCAGAGTAGAAAGGAACCCAAGTACTCATTTAGTCCATCATTGTGGTAGATACTTAATAATAACTGAGGAAACAGTCTGACCTATAAAATTTATTAGCAAGATAGGTATAATAAACAGTTCAATAGACTTTCCAGTCAGTCCAAAGAACCTGAGTATAGAGTGAACCAAATTTTTATCTATTAAAAGCAATCAAATAAAACTAATTAATCAAAAGAAAACAATTAACCAGGATAAAATATTAATCTGATTTCTAATTTGAGGAAAGATTAGGGACCTTCCAAGTTAGGAAGAGGAGAGCAAACTGGTACAATTCCCTGAAATCAGAAATCCCGAGCATCTGTATTCAATCAAAAGAAAATGGAAAGAATAACTGATGAACCAGTATGGGACCAGTTTTCAAATAAGACATATGGGTTGCTTGAGATGTATAATTGTGAGAAAACTCTTTACATCAGTCTTTGGATCTGACTGGGTCTCTAGTCATTATCACCTAGGGCTTTAGTTAAGGGTCTCTAAGCAACAGGTTGAGATGGTCCAGCCTCCCAGCTATACAGAGTTAGGTTCAAACAATACAGTAAAGTTTTATCATAATTACATAAAATTTTATTCCCATAATTACATAAAATTTTATTACAAGACAGAAATTGGACTAATCCTGTAATTGAACAGAAAATGAACTGAGCTAGATCCAGAATTGAGTCATAAGATGGAGTCAGTGGGGTTCACTCAATTCCCACAGTGTTTACTTTAAGTTTTCTTCCACCTCCTTTGTTTAAGGGAAATTTAAGCCATGTAAGGCTGCTAAATACATTATGGATCTAGCATTAGGATGCTCAGATCATGTCACTCCTTACCCAGAAGTCTTCAATGAGTACTAGACTGTAATGTAAAATAATCTAATTCTGAGATTGTTACAGCAATGAAGTACTAATAAAACTTTGTCATTTGGGCAGAGAGAATCTTTGAAGATCATGAAAACTTAGTTGAAAATCTTCTAAACTGGACAAGAGATAGTCAAAACAAGCTTATCTTTGTGGAACGTATAGAAAAATATGCACTTTTCAAAAATCCCCAGGTAAGCCTAAAAAATTTTCTAAGGTTGAAATATAGTTTATTTGCTTTTCTGACCTAATCAAGTAACTGTTTTGAAAGATGGACAATCTGATGACAAGTGTAGAGCACTATGGCATGACTTGCTTTCTGGCCTTTGTGGATACCCTAAGGATCAAAACACTAGCCCTCAAAAGTGATAAGTGCTTATCCGCATCATAGGGTGACAGAAGTAGCTACTACTTTTCAACAGCCTCTGGGCTTGAACATCTTTCTTGAGAAATAAATGGCTTATAAATTAGCATCTCTGTCTGTTGAATGTTCATTGGATGACCCAGCTATGTACCTTGCAAGGAAATGATATTAAATTCTCCTTGGGCATTGTGGCTTTTGGGGTCCTTCACCTGACACGTATACTATGTTCATTTTGTGTTCTTTTTGTTGAAGAATTGTGTCACTTCAGTTGTAGTTTCTTTGAGCCTTAGTTTACTCATCTGTAAAATAAGCTGCTTGAACTAAATAACCCTAAAGCTCCTTTCCTTGTGTAAATCCTATGTTTACATTATCTATTTCAGTGCTTTTAACTTGATTTTAGTACTTCGTAATGGCAAATACTAGTATTTTTCCTTGGTGAGAAATAGCTGTGTTACAGTAGAAATAATAGTGGAATTGAAGTCAAAGGACTTGGATTCAGATACTATCTCTGTTATGGACTAATTGTGTAACCTTGGACAAGTCAACTAACCTCACTGGGTCTCAACTTCATCTCTTAAGAGGAAGGAAAAGTTGAACTATGACACCTTCCTGATTCCCTCTCAGATCTTAATACTAAGCATGTAATTGGGGTTAATGTTTCATAATTATCAGGAAAACTTACTGATATTACACTTTTCAAAAATTAACTGAATAAATAAAATTCCTGTTAATTTCCAATTCCTATTATTTCAATTAATACTAATGAGAAATATCACCAGTATTAAAGGCAAAAGGTATTTGTCTTAATATAAAAAATATTATTAACCATGAAGTATCATTTCTGCTGAGCAGTGGCAGACATCTGGTGGTGCTAGTGTTTAGTGACAAGGGAACAGAAAAGATTTTTTTAAAGGAGGCAACAGCATGCATGTGATAAAGGAATATGTAGAATTTAGGTTTTTAGTCATAAACTTTTACTTTATTTTAGATCCTTAAATTTAATGTCTTTGTTTTCTCTTTCAGAATTATCTTCTGGGGAAAAAGGAAACATCTGAGATGGCAGACAGAAATAAAGAAGTACTGCTGGAGGTAAAACTGTAAATGCATTTTTAAATGGTATTTTCAAAAATATAACTTGAAAGCTATTGTTACATATACAGTACTTGAATCTTTTTTTCATGAGTATTTAAAACAGCCTTTTGCCAGAAAGGGTTATTAGCAGAAATTGTATTTTAATTGTTGGAGTTTTATGTTGCCAGGATTCTTTGTATGTAACCATAGTAATTAAAAGGCAAAGAATTTTTCAATTTTGTGAACTTTCCTTACTTTTTAAGAGTAAGTTTTGTTGATAACTTTTGTATTTATGTCACAGTCATTTTTGTATATTCATCACACCTTCCCCCACCCCCACTTATTGAATCCTGCCTTGTAACCAAAGAATTTAAGCAAAATTAACTCACATAGCAACCACTTCTGGCTATATATACAACATTCTACACTTGTACCAATAGTACTAACTTTTCCACCAAAATGAAGGAGGGAGATGTGTTTCATCATCTGCTTTCTGGGATAAAGATATTGATGACTTTGATTTCTTAGAATTTGACTTCCTTTTAGAGTTGTTTTCATTTATATTATTATAGCTAGTGTGTAATACTGTTCTACTAGTTCTGCTTGTTACACTCAGTATCGCTTGATGTAAAATATTCTTAACATTTCTCTGCCTTTTTCATCATTTATGATGTCCAATAATATTCCTTTATGTTTATTTTTTTATGTTCAGCCAGTGTTCAGCCACTCCATAAAAAAGGGACACTCACTGTGTTTCTAGTTTTTTGCCCCCACAAACAGTGTGATGAATATTTTGGTACATATAGAACTTTTCTCTTCTACCTTTGACTTCTTGGGTTTTATGACTTTCTGAGTCAAAGGATATGAACAGTTTACTTCATGGTTGATGTTAAAGCAATTATAGTCCTACCAACATTGTATAAATGAGCTCTTTTTCATAACCCCTTAAACATTATTTCTATTATCTTTGATACTTCCTTAATATTTTTAGTTCTCTGGGAAACCTGTTTTTCATTTGTTTTTTCGTTTTGTTTTGTTTTATTTTTTACCAAATTTTATTCTGTTAACCAGAAAGCACAACTAATATATAAATTCACTAGAGAGGTTTCAGTTTTTTTTTACTATGACTTTTTTTTTTTAAAGTTAGGCAACGGGGTTAAGTGACTCACCTAGGGTCACACAGCTAGTAAGTGTTATATGTCTGAGGCCAGATTTGAACTCAGGTCCTCCTGACTTCAAGGCTGGTCCTCTATCTACTGCGCCACCTAGCTGCCCCATGACATTATTTTTAAAAGTAATTTTGTTGTGTTTTCAGGTACAGTCCTTTCGCTGTTCTATTTTGTTTATGGAAATGCTCTTTTATTTGATGTTAAGAATAATTTTATTTTAAATTTAAATTAAAAGTGGCAGAAAAAAGAAAAGTAATCTCTTTGGATAAATAAAGTTCAAAAGAAGAAATTCATTTTGATTATTTCTGGTTGATATGTCAGAAAATTAAAGTTCAAGAAATTAGTATTTTAGAACACTTTGTTTTTTGGTGGGGAGTAAGGTGATGTTTTAACAAGAAAGATTCTTATTAGATTTATTTTCACCTCTACTGTAGTTTAGCAAAATTTCTCTTTGCAATCCCCATTTTAAGTTCTTGCTGAGGGTGAGTGAAAACAAAATGCATTTTAGATTGTGTGTACCTTGGTGCTTTTATCTAGGCATGGCAAATTTTCTTCTACTACTCCTTCTTTTATTCACCCTCTCCCTTATCTTCATTGAGTTCTCCCTCTCTTGCTGAGGCTGGAAATGAAGGTGGCCACTCTCAGATGATCGATCATACTACTAACTGTCATGGAAACTTTGAATGGCTTCATTTCTGAACTGCTTCGCCCTTCCTTAAGCAGCCTGGTGGCCCTCTCTGTCTGTATTGGTGTTAGACCCCTCCAGGGGCAGGGCTGTCTATATTGGTGTTAGACTTAGTGTGGAAACCCAGTCATCTTTAGCTCAGTGCTGAAGGGAGCTCAAGTGATCACAACAGCCTCAGCCTCCCAGCATCAGGGTTCACAGGCATGTACCACAGTGCTGAGCTGCAGAGCATCTTTTTTCAAAACTAGCAAGTTTTTTTTTCTAATTTAGATTGGTATCTAAACATTGTAGATTAATATAAAGTCTGGTAGTATTACATAATATATGCAGTGGTTTCTTTAAGTATAAGCTGTCTGAACATTAAATTTTTAAAAATTTAAATTTCTGAAACTATTTTACTGCAATTACAATACATTATTTGGTTTTCTATTGAGAGACTTGTTTCTAGTTGTCATAACTATAACACATATTTTGTGAATGGTTAATTAGATAGTATAGTACTTCTGTTAAATGGCACTTTTAATTACATTTCATTTAATTATAATTATATAGAATATAAAATACAGGTTCTTAACCTTTTTTGTGTCAAGTTTGGTGAAACATGTAGTTCCCTTCTCAGAATAATGTTTTTAAATAATTGAAGGAAATGGTAAATTTTAATTAGAGGTTCATGAAAATAAGACTGTACAGTGAATACAGCACCAGGCCTGGAGTCAAGAGGACTTAAGTTCAAATCCAACCTCAGTCATTTATTAGCTGTATAACCCTGGGCAAATCACTTAATCCTGTTTGCCTCAGTTTCCTCATTTGTAAAATGAGCTGGAGAAGGAAATGGCAAACCATTCCAGGATCTTTACAAAGAAAACCTCGAATGGGGTCACAAAGAGTCAGACAAGACTAAAACAACTGAACAATAACATGAAATTAAAGGTGTAATTTTTTCCCATCCAAGTTCACAGATCTTTTGAAATCTAATCATGAACCCAGGTTAAGAATCCCTGAATTAGAAGGTTTACAAATTGCTTTACATACTAGCATGGGAAATATAGTTGGGAGGAGTTCCCCAATTCAGTTAGAATTTTTAGGAGACATAGGTGTAAAAGGATTAAAAAAACTACTGGTGTTTGTGATCATCCACATGAGATATTTCATGGGTGGGAAAATGTTAACAAAACCTAATTAAAACAGCTATAGTACTAGGCTTGGAGATAGGAAGATCTGGGTTAGACTTCTGCCTCACATACTAGTTATGTGACCCTGAGCAAATAATGTGTGTGCACAAGCGCACGCAATGGTTTCAACATATAGTAAAGGCTTTTGGTTTCATGTTAACATCTTATGTCATGTGAATAAGTTTTGTTATGACAAGCTAAGGATTATAATCCTTTCTACTTTCTACATTGTCCTATTTCAGGAGTGTTTTTGTGGGAGTTCTGTGACAGTCCCGGAACTTGAAGGAGTGCTGTGGCTGAAAGATGATGGCAAGAAGTCCTGGAAAAAACGTTATTTTCTCCTGCGAGCTTCTGGTATCTACTATGTTCCTAAAGGAAAAGCAAAGGTGTGTTCTTTAGAGTAAAAATGTTTAACTCTTTCATTGATACTGCTTTTGTTATTTGGTGGGTGGTTGTTGGTTTGGTTTGGTTTTGTCTTGATTTTTAGCCTCACAGACATTTCCCAGCATATTTCTCACAAAGGAACAACTAAAAACTGACAAAGCAGCCATCATTTCTGACCAAGAATACACAATATACCACACCCATAGCCTCCCACATCTGGGCCAATAGGAGAGAAATTTGTTTCATCCTCTGTGCTAAAGAAACAAGACTATTTGCTGAAATTCATCTGAGTTTAACTGCCTTTTAATGTTATTTTTATTTACAATAGCCATTGCATTTTGTTTGCTCACTTCTGCTTTTCTTCATTCTACATCAGCTCATAAAAGTACTCCCATGTTTCTTAAAATGCTTTAGGTGTGTTGTTTCTTATAAAACAGTTATTTTTGATTATGTTCATACACAGCAATTTGTTCATCCATTCTCCTGTTGATAAGTAATCATTTTCTTTCTAGTTTTTCCCACCTTAAATAAAGTTGCTATAAGTATTTTGTTAAATATAAAACTTTTTATTTTCTATCTGTGACCTCTTATATATATGGCCTGTTGTGGAATCATTGTGTATGATCAGTTTAGTAACTTTTCTTGGGTAATTCTAATTTTTTTTCCACAACATTTAGACCAGTATCGAGCTCCACCAATAGTATTAGTATGTCTGTCTTCCCACAGCTCTTCCAAAATTGACTATTTTTGTCCCTCATCTTTTCCAATCTGATAGATTACAGTAGAACCTTAGAGTTGTTTTAATTTGCTTTTTTTAGTGTTCTTAAGTTGCATACATGGAAAATTAAGTTGGTCAGTATTGTCATTTTTATTATACTGGTGCAACCCAACTAAAAGCACAGAATAATCCTCCAGCCATTTAATTTTTTTTTTTTTTAAGAAATATTTTGTAATTGAATCTAAACAGGTATTGAGTTTGCTTTGGTAAATCAACTCCCAAATATTTTATGCAAATATCAGATAATTAAAAAGCAGAGTATTGGATACTGGTGTAACACCAACTTCTCATAGTGATGACACTTTTAGATCTTAAACATCACAATTTACTTAACAGTAAAGAAATTGCTACCATAGATAGCAATATATTAATACAAATGCATAAATAATAAAATTTTTTACAATACACATAAACCTGGATTACACTGTCTCTCTGGTTCACTAAATAGCTGTGGTGAAGAGAGAGTACACATTTCAGAAATATTGCCTACCCATAAGTAATCAATATTTTAGCATTTGTCATCTTCCTCTTTTGTCATCTCTGCCAATCTGACGAGTGTGAAGTGGTACCTCAACATTGTTTTAATTTGCATTTCTCTACTTACTTAGTGATTTAGAGTATTTTTTCTTATGCCTATTGGTAACTTAGATTTCTTCGTATCTTTTGACCATTTATCAATTGGGGAATATTCTTGTCAATTTGACTCAGTTCCCTGTATATTTTAGAAATGAAACCTTTGTCAGAGAAACTTGCTAGAAAGATTTCTTTCTCCATTTCCCTACTTTTCTTCTAATTTTAGCTGTGTTGGTTTTTGTTTATTCAACACCTTTTTCATTTTATGTAATTAAAAATCTTCACTTTATCTCCTGTAAACCCTTATCTCATTTGTTCATGAATTCTTTTCCTATCCATAGATCAGACTGGTTGAACTACATTTAAAGTGTTGTGTTCAATTCTAGATGCATGCATTTTAGAAAGGACATTGACAAGGTAGAGTGTGTCCAGAAGAGTGAAATAAAAATGGTGAAAGACTTGCTTTTATGCCATCATGGAAAAGAACTGGGCATGTCTAGCCTATAAAAGACTTAAGAAGGATTGCTAGTTATAGTTAAGTATTTGAAATGTGCTCACATGGAAGAGGAGTTAACAGTTTGTTTTGCTTGGTCTTAGAAAATAGAACTAGGGACAGTGGGTAGAAGTTAAAAAGATAAAAATTTAGGGTTACTGTAAGAATTTACTAAAGAACTTGGATAATTATTTAGGATGTTGTAAAAAGATTCTTTTTTGCACATATTAGGCTACATGTTTACAGAGGTCCCTTCAATTCTGAAATGCAATGACTATAGGTTTGGTGATAGATAGCAGGTAAGTGTCATGAAGGAGAGGAGAATCAAAACACCAGGGCTTTTATACTTTTAGATCGGGTTGTTAATGATATTGCTGTTAGAACTGAGTATAAGTGGAGAAGGAAGCCATCTTCTAGGAGAAAATTAATGTGATTAATATAGTAGAATGAAAACATACTGTAGGTAGTTGAAAATATGGGGCAGGGCAACAGGTAAGAGATAAGGGCTGGCGATGTAAGCTTTGAAGATAGTGAGAGTAAATGAGCTTACTAGCATAGTGTACACAAAGAACATAGAGAAGCAGAGCTTTAAGAGATAGTTAGTGAGTATTTGATAAATTGTTGCTGACTCTTTTGTTTGTGTATTAGGTTTCCAGGGATCTTGTATGCTTTCTTCAGCTGGACCATATCAATGTTTACTATGGACAAGATTATCGGAACAAATACAAAGCACCTACAGACTATTGTTTAGCCCTGAAGGTAACTTGTTTGATAATTTCATAAGAATTTCTAATTGAAGTTGCATAGTAGATAGGATTATCTGTAATAATATCTTAGTAATGTAAGCACCCAAACTGTCTACCTAACATTATTTTACTTAGAGTTTAGAAGAGGAAAAAGAAAAGGAAGTAACAAGATTAAGAATTGTATATGTTATACCAGAACTAAGATTTTAGTCATAGAAATAGATGCTGACATTTCAGCATTATATTTTAATATATTTCAGACAATTTGATCTTATTTCTTGTTATTTTGAAATATACATTCAAAAAATTAAAATTAGTCCATTGTGTAGGATGAAAATTCTTTTCAGCTCCTGAGAATCTTTTTTTCCATTTAGCTGGTGTTCTTTACTTAACAGAACCATCAGAGAGCACCATGGTCTGAGTTTAAACTTCATTTCCATCCACTGCAGGAAGAACATTAAATTAAATCATTCCATTGAACTCCCAATTCCTTTATTGTACCCTACCTCTGAAATTTTGTTATGTCTTTTACTTTCTCCAGTCATCTCCATGAGGTTTTCCAGTCCAATTATTCCTTCACATTGGAGAGGGAAAAAAGCAAACATATTTTGAATAAATTTAGTTAGAAGCAACTTTAAAAATATATTACTTAGCAGTCATTTTTATTTATCAAGATATAATTAAACCAAATGTATTCACAAATAAAACAAAGATGTGCCATGTATTAGGATATTTAGAGGTGATGTCATGTCTAGAGTTCTGACTTTGGAATCAGGCAAGTTCAAATTCTACTTCAAGATGATTAAAAGCTCTGATTCCCTCCGCAAGTCAGTTTTCTTTTCTAAGCCTTCATCTGTAAGAGGGGGATGATAACAGCATCTGCCATCACAATGTTGTTGTAAAGATAAAATAAGATAGCATATTTAAAGGGTTTTGGCAACCTTAAAGTTCAGAATTTTTACCTGTGAAGCATCGATACAACCTGCCCTTTTTTTTTTAACGTATCATAGTTTCTCCCTTCTCATATCGTATATGGGATGTTTTAGGTGTTTTTCCCCCTCTTCTGCCCTGTTCACTACCACCAGAAGGGAAAAGGGAAAGTATGATTTATTTCTCAGCCAGGTGTGTACATGTATGTACTAGCAGGTACACGGATGTTGTAGTAAATCACTAGAATGCCGAAGATGATGGTTCTTAAGCTTTTAGGACTACAGACTAGGGCTAAAAATCCAAGAAGTCATCTACCCCTCTTGAACTTAATTTGACCCTTTCCTCCAGCATCTCCCAAATGAATGTCCTTTGCTTGCCTGATTTGGGGAGATAAGAGAAAATTAAAAAGGCAGGGGAGATGATGCATGAGCTCTAGATAAGAGGATAGTATGGTGAGGAATACTGAGAAATAGCAGATTTGTTTAGTGCTTTCAAACTACACATAGTGAATGTTTAGAAGCAAAGTCACAGCTTCTTCACTTTTCAACCCACACCCCAGACATTCACCACCACCACCACCACCACCACTACTATTGCTACTTCTACTTCTACTACACTACTACTACCACTGTTACTATACTACTGCTGCTGCTACCACCACTACCACCGCCCACTTGTGTTTTCATTTTTAGACAAATTATAAGCTAGAACTTTATTGAAAAAATCTTTCTTTGGTAACTAACAGAAAGGATTAGGACCTGCTTAGATTGTCTTTTTCATAGCCTTTTAAAATCTAATTTGTACCTTTATGGAAATTCAGTTCAGCAAAAATTTATTGAATCAAGTTGGCATTATTTGAACTAATCAACTCTAGTTGGCAGTAGACTTAGAGAAAATTATTCTAATTTCTGAGTTTGCTAATTGTTCTATACTGTAAGCACTGGTTCTGTTTGGTCTTCATGATAACATGTGTATACACTGTAAGTTAAATGGAGAGTAAAGGTTAAGTGAAAATGAGTCTATTTGCTTTTTTTTCTATTTTTTTATTTTTAGGCAATTGGGGTTAAGTGACTTGCCCAGGGTCACACAGCTAGTGTCAAGTGTTTGGTCTGAGGCCGGATTTGAACGCAGGTCCTCCTGACTTCAGGGCCGGTGCTCTATCCACTGTGCCATCTAGCTGCCCCTGTTTGCTTTTAAAAAAAAAAAATCACAATAATTCTTGGGAAAATATGGAATTTAGCCAACACAGGGTATCAGTTGCTCAAAGAAATGAGAAAAGAATTCATTTTTATTAGACATGATATGTAGGAAAGCAAGACTGGTTAATATTTTTGAGAAGAGTATGAACAGGAAACTTAGAAGTATATGTGATTTTTATATATGTGTGTGTGTGACATATATTAAAACCACTGACCTAATAATATGATAGGTTTATATATAAGCTATTTTTAAAAATTATTAATATGGTGAGAAACTGTTTTCAATCATATATGCTTCCATTTCAGTTACATATGCTTCTAAAGTATTGAGGGGGTGATTGGGGTAATATGCTTCTAAAGTATTGAGGGGGTAATTGGGGTAATTGTCTTTGATTTTCTAATTTAGAGTCATGATTTTATAGCATCACATGTTATGGAAAGCCTTTGATTTACTCAATGGAATTGTCTGTTCAAATATAATTTTAGGCAAAGACAAAGAAAAGGAAACAGTGAATTAAACTTGATTTTAGAAAAAGCTAATAAAAAATTCTATTATATTTTCCTCCTAATTCTTCAGTAGTGTGTGTTGCCTTTTACCAAGTCATCCTTCAAAGTCAATGTTATATTTAAAAAGGGATGAAGATGTGTGGTTTGTTTTTTTAATGTAGAGATTCACATAATACTTTTTCGACCATTATTAAGTCAAAGGATTTGAAATTGACCTAACACCCTTCTGCACATTTCGTACTCTCCACTGGCTGCCCTTCTGTGGATTTTTCCCCTCCTTCAAGACTGTCCTTCATGTTAATTTTAACCTACTTTTATCCTTGTTTGGAAAAAGTTTAGGAGGAGCCAAGATCAAATAATGTGATTTACCCTGTACCATAAACAGCGAAATGGGCAGCTAGGTAGCACAGTGGATAGAGCATCAGCCCTGGAATCAGGAGGACCTGAGATCAAATCCGACCTCAGACACTTGACACTTACTAGCCATGTGACCTTAGGCAAGTCACTTAACCCTGCCTCACCCCCCCCCCCAAAAAAAGGCAAACAGCAAAACACTGCTAAGGACAGCCTTTATGTGCTGGTGAAAAAACAACTAGCAATTTAATGGATTGTTATATTTACCTTTCTACTGCTCAGGTTCATTGTTTAAGTGACATTTAGTAAATTAAGTAAACTGTAGCCTTTAGTAGATAAAATCTTGCTTCTCAAGTTTTAAATTTCTATATCAAGGAAATAACGATGATAATCTGGCATTTATATAGTCCTTTAAGGTTTGCAAAACATTTTACATGTGATATGTCATTTGATCATCACAACAACCATATGAGCTAGGTGCTGTTATTATCTCCATTTTTACAGATGAGGAAATTGAAGTAGGCAGAAATTGTGACTTGCCCCTGGTCACATAGCTATTTGTGTCTCAGGCAGGAATTGAACTCTCATCTCAGTGGAGGTCCAGTATTCTATTCATTGCACCACCTATTTGGCTCAGTGGTAGGCTCTGTGGTGGTGGTGGTGGTGGTGATGGTGATAGAAGTAATTCACTTTTTTTTTTTTGCATTGTACAAGTAGTGCATCTCCATTTTATAGGTGAAGAAACAGACTTATAAAGGTAAGGTGATTTAAAAGAGGTGGTTAGTGAACATCCTGGTTATGAAGCAGTGATTCATACTTCTGCTGCCTGCCTTTTTGTGGCTCCTCCTCCCACACTTCAAGGCTATCCTTCATGTCCATTATACTACTTTTATCCTTGTTTGAAAAAAGTTTAGGAGAAGCTAAGAACAGTGTGATTTACCATAAACACTACTAAGGATGTCTCTCATAGAGCTGATGTTAACCAATGAACCAGTTTTACTCAGAACAACTTGTGACAGACTAACTTAATTTCCTTTCTTGACAGTTACTAAAATAGATCAGGAGACTGCTGTGGGTATAGTTCACCATTTATGAGTCTGTTTCTTCACCTATAAAATGGAGATGCACTGTTTGCACAAAGCAAAAAAAAAAATTACTACTACTACTACTACTACTACTACTACTACTACTATTTCTCTTTCTTGGAAGAAGCAATATACTTTTTTGTCTTTGTCCCTAGAGGGTAGGGATTGAGCCAAGAGTTAGAACTTGCAAACAAGCAAATTCAAGGTTGGCGTTGGGAAAATTTGCTGTCAAGTAGAACTAACCCAAAGTGGAATGGGCCACTGTACAAAGTAGTGGGCTCCCCTTTTTGAAGGCATTCAAGCAATGAATGGATAGCCATTGGTTAGGCATGTTTATAAGGGATTCTTGTTCAGGTGTTGTTTAGATTAGGTGAACACTGAGGGTCCCTTCTAATCGTAACTTTCTGTATATGACTATGAGTGAGTGATGGAGGAAAGATTGGAGTCCAGATATCTCCCACTCCAAGGACAGTGAGTATTCTTTTTTTCCACTTTACCACACTGCCTACTTAGAGCATATACTTTCAACTTTGATCAGATAGAAGCTTGTTTTAAATAATTAGCCTCAAAGGTAGATATTTAACCAAATACAATTAATTTGCTAATTTTTCTCTCAGTATGTAAATGAGAACCTAATACGCAACCAACCTACCATACAGGATGGTTAAAAGGAAAATGTTTTGTAAACTTGAAAGCACTCTAGAATTTTGAGGTATGAATTGTCAGGCATGTCTAGATATTTCTATGTTCTTACAAGGGAAACAGCTTTCAAGATTTTTATTCATATGATCATGAAAACCATAATAGTTTCCCAGCATTATAAAATTACCAAGTTGAAGCAGCTAAATAATTATAAAATGTCCAGCTTAAAGCAGTGAGTAGAATTTTAGAAAACCTAAATATCTTTTATTAAAATTGTGTATATTGTAACATGGACAGTGAGCTGGGGCCAGAGTTGAACATAGGAGTGCAGTAGGCCGGAGTGCCTGAGAGGACTGCTCGGCTTCTTTATGACCCATCTTCCCATGAAAGTAAACAGTTCTTTTTTTAATACTGAGTCTGCTGGTGGTATCATATAGCAGTGAAACTGAGTATACCACATGCCCACAGGCATGGTGGGTGTGAGCAAGCCCCAGTATGTAACCAGTGAGGAACCGAAAAGAACAATAAAGAGTGAAAGATGTCATCAAGGAATTACATGGTAAGAAGAAAGCAGGGGCAGGCTGTATGGCGAGGGGTGACAGTGATCCCTTGGGAATGCTCACAGAAGCCTCCAGCACATGTAGAAAACTTAGGAGAAGACATGGAAAAGAGTTGCAAAGGATGGGCAGACTTGAATGGGTTGCAGTCTAATGATAAAAAATACTTTTCTAAACAAGTTATGGCCATTATGCTATTTTAATTGGAACAAAGTCTGCCTTTTTTCCTTAAAATCTAACTTATATACCTAAAGGTAGCTTTCATTATAAAGTAATTGGTATTTTTATCAAGTACAGGTAGGAATAGAGACCTGACCCATGATTTCATTAGTACAGGGAAACTTCCTGAGTGAGGAAACTCTTTATCAGTGTAAGTTACCGCTGTCTCTGCAATTTGCCCCTTAGGTTAAATTGTGCCTAAAGCACGTGAACTGCTTGGGGCCACATGGCCAGCATGTATCAGAGGCAAGACTTGAACCAAGGTCTTCCTGGTTCTGAGGCTAGCTGGCTGTCCTTTATGACACTGTGACTTCTGTCTCTCTATAACTATTTACATACACACCCCTTCCTAAGAGATATGACCTATGTGAGCATTAGTCCAACATTTATTTCTGCAGATAAGGTGCTGACCTGCTTTGGTTAGAAGGATTTTCCTCACCTGAGTTCTCTTGTATCAGTGAAATCACAGGTACAGTCCCTAACCTTTGATTAGTTCATCCAGAACAGAGCACTTTAGGGGTGAATTTCCCAGTGGATTTCTTGTTTTCTGTTCACTGTTCTAACTTATCACATGGAGAGGATGTTTGTGCAATACACACTTTTGGCAAAGGGAACAGAATAGGAAGTAGTGATGAAAAATGTTTCAAAATGAGCATTAAAAAGTTTTACTATTTTACTCAGACTAAGGAATCTTTCATTGTCTTTTGGTTTTTATGTATACAGTTTGATTCACAGGAAGAACTGCTTTTTCTCTTTCCTAATTTTCACAGGTTGAAATTTAAATTGGTTTTGTTTCTTCCTTAATGTGTTTTGTTATTCCCCAGAATGGATACATACAAAAGATTTTTTGGAAATGACCTAGGATATATCCAATTCATTTATCAGGCTTACTCTAATTCATATATCCTGTTCCAAGATTAAATAGAAGTTTTTAAGGAAATAATTGGGATTATTCTAATTGTTTTAACTGTTGTCAGGGCAACCTTTTCAGGTTTGTTTTGTTTTGTTTTGTTTTTTTTATCTTGAAGTGACATTTGAAATTTCCCTTTCAATATTCTGTTTTTACTCCAGCACCCACAGATCCAAAAGAAGTCTCAGTATATCAAGTATCTTTGTTGTGACGATGTTAGAACTCTGCACCAGTGGGTAAATGGCATCCGGATTGCAAAGGCAAGATTTCCTTTAACATGTCTGATGGGTTCTTAATGCAGTTCAGCAAATATTTATCAAGCCCCCATTATAGACACAGTATATCATGCACTATGCTAATGATACAAAAATGAAAAATAAAGTTTCTACCCTTAGCAATTTATGATCTGAAAGGATAGGAAATGTACAGAACTAAATAACAGTACAAAAATAGTAATGAAGGCAAAGGGGGAGATCGTTTTCATATTACAGGGTGGGGGAGGGGGCAAGAAGGGTGATGGTAATCAGGAAAAGATTCATGTAGGAGATAGCACAACGAAAACAGATTTCAGTAGATAGAGATGGAAAGGAAGTATGTTGCTGGTCCAAAGAATGGCATGCATGGAGGCAAGAAAAGATAAAACAAGACCGGGGAGCAGACTGTCCAATTTGAATTGTATGCAGTAAAAAGAAAGTAATAGAAAATAAGGATGGAAAGGTAGATTGGAAGTTTATACTTTATCTTACAGTCAGGGAACCAGCTGAAGGTTGTTGGATCAAAGACCTGGTCCTTGCCCTCATGGAGCTCCCAGGGAGAGCACTGGAAGCGGAAAGAAGTGGAAAGTTCTGCCTCTTGCAAATGGGATTTGAGCTGAGTTTTAAAGGAATCCAGGAGAAGCCAAGAGGCAGAGGCAAGGAACACTAGTATTTCAGGAATGGATGATATCAGTGAAAAGGCAGATGGAGTGTGGTGTTTGCAGAAGTGAGAAGGCCAGTATCTCACAGACCACATGGAGGAGAGTAAGGTATTAAAAGATTGAAAAGGTAGGAAAGGACCAGATTGTGGAGAGCTTTAAAAAAAAAAAGGATTTTATATTTGCTAGGTGCTGGGGATATTGTAAAAATACAAAGAATGAAATGGACCAAACTATTTTCCAACTTACTTTGCCTTGTCTTGCCAACCACCTTCTCCTTTGCCTTTTATAGTCTTCCTCTTCAGTTTTTACTCCCTAATCTTCTTTGATCCGTTCCTCTTTAGCCCCTTTACATTCTCCTTTCTTACTTTTGATCCTCTTTCATCCTAGAAGTAGGATCTAGACAGGTATCTCTTGAATTTCCCTCACTTTCCCCAGCTATCTCCTTCCCACATAATTACTTCATTAGTCCAAACAACTTTAAATCACTTGCTACATATTCTCCTTATTCTGTTAAAGTCTTTTTCTCTTCTCCTATGCCTTTTCCCATGGGAGTCAAATAGAACAAAAAGATCAAGGATGAGGACTGAGAAAATACATTTAATTTGGTAATCATGAAGTCATCGGTGGCATTGGAGAAAACAATTTCAGTAGGGTGGTAGGGATAAAAACCAGATTGTGGGACATTAGTTACATGTGGGTTGAAATCTGCTCTTTCTAGAAATTTAGCCATGACAAGGAATAAGAGTGAGGGATAGAAGGGTTATTTTCAGGCTTTTTGGAAAATCAGTGAGATCTGTTTCTAGACAGAAAAGAGTCATATTTTAAAAAAGAAGAAATGGATGGGGAAGGGGATCTGGAAATGACAGAAAGTGATAGGATCAAGAGCATAAGGGAAAAAAGTCTTGACAAGGAGGGAGGGTCACCATGTTGATGAGTATATATTATCTAATGTATTTTTATTGGTTGAGGTTTAAACTTTTGAATCTTAACTGAATAGGGGTGATCATAAAACACTAGATAAGGTAAAAGTGTGATTTATTTGAGTTTGGGATACCTTGTGATTCTTTTGAAGGAAATCTTCATTTTTTTATTGCCTTTATATTTACTCCAGAAAAGCTACTAAGTAAGTAATCCATAGATATAACCAAGTACTGGTTATTGTTACATTTCATCCTTTTTCTGCCTGCCTAGACATTATACTTAGCTATATTAGATTGCAACTGAATTCATTCTAATGGTTTGGCAAGGTGAGGAAGTTCTTTAATTGAAACTTGTGAATCATCTAGCAGAAACATGCTTCTTCTTCCTCTGTCCATACCAATTAAATTCAAATGAAGTCATAAATTACTGTCTTTTCTGTTTAGTATGGAAAACAGCTCTACCTGAATTATCAGGAAGCTGTGAAGAGAACAGAGTCAGCCTATGACTGGACCTCCTTGTCTAGTTCCAGTATCAAATCTGGATCAAGTTCTTCTAGCATCCCAGGTAAATCCGAAATACCTCGAAGTACTACTTCACTATCTGCAGTAAAGGCTATCCTTGGTCTTCAAAGCAGCAATTCCTAACCTTTGTGCTGTGAACTCCCTTGCACCATCAGTTTGGTGAAGTTTATGAGTCCCTTCTCAGATAATGTTTTCAAATGTATAAAATAAAATGCATAGGATTACAGAGGAAACAGATTATATTAAAATAGTTATTTAAAAGTTTTAAAGTTCACACATGTTAAGAACCCCTACTTTAAACTTTTTTAGCCCTTTCCAGAGACTGATAACCTCTCTATTTCAGTATAATTTCAACTGTTGACCCTCTTAACAATAACAATTTGTGTGTTCCATTTTTAAATTTCTCAATGCCAGGCTTTTGTCCCTGAGTTATAATGTGCTATTTCTTCAGAACTGAAAGCTAAGATTATTCAAATTATGAAGAAAATTTCATTTGAGTGTCTTCAAAATGGAAAACAGTAGATTAAATCTTGGGATGACATTAATTAGAAATGTCAAAGACAGAGAAAAGATCCTTTTCATGATTCTGTTTCTTAACTCTAGTTTTTAATCAGTAAATGACCACACTTTCTTAAAAACCCTGTCTTCCCTAAGTGTCCATGAGATAGCTATAAAAAGTAAAGAAATAGGAAGTGGCAGTCATGAGATTTTTTTTTCTTTTTGTCTCCTGTCTAAGCTTCAAGGAAGATAATCTTTTCATCACTACTGTGTAAGAACAAGTAAACAAAAAACAAAATTGATAATGGACCAAAAAGAGAATCATGAGCATGTCATATAGGAATACACAGAAAAGAAATAAAAAGCAAATTTGACCATTATAAATAAATTGAAATGTCATGATGCTATATTCTAATTCAGTATCATTTAAATACATTATATTGTGTACAGTTTCGGGGTAGATTTTTTCCTAGATAGTTTACAAGTTATAGAATCAAATCTGGAAGGGATCTCAGGAAATTACTGGATGCATAGCCAAAAAAAATGGCAAACAATAATTGAGTTCCTGCCTTGTACAAAACATTGCTTCAGGTGTTGGGGAAGATACAAAAATAAAACTGCCCCGTGGAGTTTATGATTTAGTTGGGGTATAACCCAAAGAAGAAGGTAGTAGTAAAACCTCCTTTTTACAGATGAAAAAGCAGAGACTCACAGAAGCTTCATGACTCGCCCCCTATTGCTAGTAAGGACTGGAGAAAGGAAGACGTTAGACTTACTCTTCTTAGTAATGAATAGGTACTGATTCTTAAAATATGACTTAGAGCTTTGTGGTTTATTTCATCCCACATGGTCTGCAACCTGGTGGCCTCAAACTGTAACTGGGGAAATTACGGAAAGTAACCCTTCCTCGTTTATCCAGTAACTAGCCAAGATACCATGATACAGTCTCATCATTCTCTTTCTCCCTCCCTCTCCCCCCTCCAGAAAAGGCAATCATTTCAAAATCCTAATGATAATAAAGTGAAAACATATTTAAATCTGTACATTAAAAGTCATTTAATCTTAAACAATAGTTTGTCCTATTTCCCAATGTAACGAAACAGACACTAAATAAAAAAGACCCATTTTCTCAATCAAAAGGAACCAAAATTTATGATTAACTATCACCATGACTGTTGTCAGTTTTGTTTCTTTTTGGTCAGGGAAAGTAGGATGTAAGACCTTGTCCTGTGGGTAAAAAAATTGCTAGCTTTTTAATGCTTACTTGAAATGTTTTCTTTTCTTATCTAGATTCCTATTTGTCTTTGTACAAATTCTATTACTTGCTGAATGACTGAATACTAATAGTATGCACAATCTTTGTGTATAATCTCTTAGTGAACTGGTATGCTCAGTAGACTTGAGATTTACCACTTCTAAGTTGAGAGACATTTTCTAGTGGAAAGTAGCTCATTTGGTAAGCTGAGTGGTAGAAATTAACTTTTTTCACCTTGTCAATTGCACGTTGATTGGCACTTATTCTGTAAGAGACTTCTCTAACATATTTATTCACTGACATTTAAAACCAATTTAATTTTTAATTTAAACAGAGTCTCAGTCGAATCACTCTAATCAGTCTGATAGTGGAGTTTCTGACACCCAGCCAACAGGACATATTCGTTCTCAGAGTATCGTGAGCTCTATCTTTTCAGAAGCTTGGAAACGAGGGACTCAGTTGGAAGACTCCAGCAAGGTAACAAGCCTGTTTTTAGCCTGCATAGCAAATCTCATGATGCTTTAATGAGAAATAGATTTATTGCAATGTTGTTCTTTTTTTTTCTTTTTTAGGAACTCTTCCTTCTTGGTTCTTTTTTCTTAGTGTCTTTCTTTATGATTGTGGGGAGTCACTATCTTCTATTTAAATAGATGTTACCAGATCAGTTGGTTATTGATGGTTCAGGATGAATTTATTCAGCTTGTTGCTTATGAACCTCTTGCTTCACTAAATTCTAGCTTTTTTGAACCATTTTCCTGCTCATCCACCTCTTCCACAAAGTTATAGAGGAAAGGAATGAGATCTAAATCATCATTTTTAAAATTTTTATTCCTAACTCTTGCGTTCCTGAATCATACTGCCATGTTGAATTGGACACTTCTTCCTGGACTATTAAATCAATGGAAAAGTCCTTGATATGGAATCTTTGAGCTGAATGTCTCATCCAGTGGTTCTCAACTTTTTTTTTGGTCTCAGGACCCCAAAGAGCTCTTAAGTAATACATACTTATACATACATACATACATACATACATACATACACATACATACATATATATACACTGTATTAGAAATTAAAACTGTTAATTTTTAAAAATATTTATTTAAAATAACAGTAAATCCACTGTGTGTTAATATAATTTTTTTAATAAAAGATAACTATTTTCCCAAAAAATAGTGAAGAGTGGCAATGTTTTACATATTTTTGCAAATCTTTTTAATGTCTGGCTTAGTAAAAAAAAACAGCCGGATTCTCATTTGCTTCTGATTCAGTCTGTTGTAATATGTTGTTTTGGTTGAAGTACATGAAAAAAAGATCTGGCCTCACAGTTAGGTTGGTGGAAAAGGGTATTATTAAGTATTTTAATAGGCAAATATTGTCTTAGTATTATTGTGAAACAGTTTTGACCTCGTGGACCTCCAGGGGCCTTAGGGACTCTCTGGGGTCTATGGACCATACTTTGAGAACCACTATTCTAGGGGCAGCTAGGTGGCGCAGTGGATAGAGCACTGGCCCTGGAGTCAAGAGGACCTGAGTTCAAATCCAGCCTCCGACACTTAGCACTTACTAGCTGTGTGACCTTGGGCAAGTCACTTAACCCCATTGCCTAGCCCCCCAAAAACAAAACCAAAAAAAAAGAGAGAGAGAACCACTGTTCTAGTCCAGTCACCTTATTTTACAAATGAGGAAACACAGAGAAGTTAAATGAAGTGCCTCGAATCACATCGTAGTAAATAGCAGCACTGCATTTCACCAAGTTTCTTGACCTTAGAGGTCATCTAGTCCAAACTTTTGCTCATTGCAGAAGTTCTATTACATCTCTGCCAACTGGCCTCCTCTTTAAAACATCCAGTTCAAGAACTCACTATGTGTCTTTTAGCAACTGCTAAAAGTTTTTCAGTTAGGTTTTTATTCAGTAATTGTTTTCTAGTGTTGGGATCTGAGTTACTTACTCAAATACACTCACAGAGCTGAGTCAAATTGAAAATTTGCCACAAGTGATACCAATTATAAGTCACCCGATAGAACTCTATTTCTGAACAAAAATTAGTATTGGAAATAGTTTGGGGAAAATTAAGTCAACACAGTAGAATTTTTAAAAATTCTTACTCCCTCTTTGTCTTTTAATTAGTTCTGATAAATCAGGAACCATGCTTTAGGAAATTCTACTAATTCTAATTTCCAGAATAAAATCCTCCATTTTATGAAATTTCTAATGATGTTATCCACATAGATTTTGACCTGTAAAACTGCCCCAAAGATCCAAAGATTTTATGTTTTAAAAAGATTGGTTGTCATTGCAAAATGAAGGTTATTGGAATAGAAGGGATTTGAAAAAAATTTTCAAGTTAGAAATTCTGCTAGGCCCCTATGCAGCAGTAGAGGTGTGTTAAGTTTCTATTCCCCTTCCTCTGTTTCTCCTGTTACCTCAGTCTCAGATGCCCAGTGTGAAGGCCAGCAGAGCTAAAGTCTGCATATCCAAGATGCCTAATATGGGGTGCAGCTAAGGTCTGGGACTGTTCTTTGAAAGCATATTAATTAACCTGACTGATTCATAGAACCAAATCTTACCAACTAACCCTTTTATTGAGAGCTGTTTAATCCTTTTATGTGATTATGCTAATTAGCCCTAAGTTTAGAGGTTATCTAACAAATTGGTTAGAAAATCCTTTGTAATGTGATCTAAATAATTCTTGCTTTTGATCAGTTGTCATCACAGTTTAAAACCCCAAAGGTCATGCCCCAAATATTTAAAAAGCAGAAAAACAAACAAATGTAAATTAGCATATTTCTACATTATTTTCAGAAATTTACATTAATTAACTGATACACTAAATGATGGTGACTCCAGTAGCACTAAGGAATATTTTTTAAGTCATCAGCAGATTTCCATTCCTTCTGGATTTCCTTTTCTCAAACCTATTGAGATTATTCTTTTTCTCCTGCTTTTTTCTGTATAATAATGGTTTGGTGTTTTTTTTGTTGTTGTTGTCGCTCGCTGTGATGTTCATGAATCATTTCTTTATGTATTTTCCAGTAAAAACAAATATAAGGAAAATGTCCCCCTTTTACCTGCATTGCTGGACTTCTGTGCATGTTGGATGCAAGTGTCTCGTACGAATACAAGTGTGTGTGTCAAGCTCAGCCCTGTATGACTGTGCACGCCTGCTGAATATTTTCATGCTCTCATATGTCAGCACACTAGCATCAGAAAGCCATCCTCATTCATCAAGAGGCCCTCCACCAGCACATCCTAAACCTAATCCATGCCTCTGCTTGATGCGGATGCTATCATGGAATGAAGGGTTGTCCTCTCTTCTCATGACGGTTCCCTTTCAGGACAGGATGTGTGAAAGTAATAACCACAGATCATAAAATTCTGTATCCTGTCACTGTCTAAAGTCTTCCACACCAGGAAATCCTTTCCCAGGTAGATAGGCAATCTAGCTATCTGCTGTCTGAGTATATCCTTAGATGTCCCTCCTCCCCAGGGAGCCAGGCTTCCTCCTTCCTGTCATGTGATCTATCCATCTTCATCCTCTTGCTACATCTTCTTCATGCATGTTCCAGGCTCCTTTTTTTTTTTTAAATAGATAAGCAAATCAGAACTGAACTTTATAACCTTTTTTTTGTCTCCCTTGTCTCCCTTTTTTTATACTCCTTTTAGGCCAGAATGGAGTCTTTGAACCGACCTTACACTTCACTTATGCCCCCTTTGTCCCCACAAACTAAGACAGTTGCCCCCTACACTGCTTCACAGCCATCCCCGCCTCTCCCGCCACCTCCACCCCCTCCACCACCCCCTCCACCCCCTCCACCACCCCCTCCACCCCCTCTCCCCAGTCAGGCTGCACCTTCTTCAGTTTCAGCAGCCACAATGTTTGTCAAATACAGTACAATAACTAGGCTGCAGAATGCATCTCAACATTCAGGACCTCTCTTTAAACCCCCACCACCCCTGGTGACACAGCAAATGTCAGCAGCATCACAATCAGGAAAACCTCAACTGCTGGTGCCTCCTAATGGGGTAGTTCCCCCTCCTCCTCCTCCACCCCCACCTCCTACCCCAGGATCAGCTATGGCTCAGTTAAAACCAGCCCCATGTGCCCCATCAGTTCCTCAGTTCAACCCTCCACCTCCTCCTCTGAAAATCCATCAAGTGCAGCAGAATGTTGTTCAGGCTACTCCCCCTGTTCCTGCACCCCCACCTCCCCCTCCTGTTCCTGCACCCCCACCTCCTCAAGCCCCTCCCAAACCTCTGGTGACTCCCCCACCAACCAGTACCAAAACTGCATCACCTACTGTGATACAAACCCCATTCTCGGTTCCTACCCCTCCAATTCCCCCAGCAAAAAAGCAGCCAGTTTTTCCCACTTCCCAGATTCCACAATCTGCTCCTGCTCTTCCTGGTCCAGTTCCCCCACCAACATTACCAAAACAGAGCTTCTGTGTAAAACCACCTCCTTCCCCACAGTCTCCAGTGCCATCTGTTGTGAAGCAGATAGCCAGCCACTTCCCCCCTCCCCCAACCCCTCCTCCATCAGAGCCTCTGCCTTTAAAGCCTGTGCCATTGAGTGCGACACCACAGTCTCCCCCTGCTGTGAAAGCCAAGCCTAAGTGGCAGCCCAGCTCTGTGCCATCCCCTGACTTTCCTCCACCTCCACCTGAAAGCATCCTTGTATTTCCACCTCCACCAGCATCAACACCAGGGGTCTCTCCTGCCCCTGATAAAATTGGATCTCCAGTCAAAAAGACCAGCAAGACTTCTAGTCCAGGGGGAAAGAAACCACCCCCAACACCACAGCGAAACTCCAGCATTAAATCGAGCAGCTGTGCAGAATATCAAGAGTCTAAAAGACCTTCAGTGGACAGCCTTGTTAGCAAATTTGCACCCCCCTCAGAACCTTCAGGGTCTCCCAACAAGGAGACGCCACCTCCTCCTGCAGCTCCACCAAAACCTGGAAAACTCAATCTCTCTGGAGTCACTCTACCTATAATTCTCCAACAAGGAGGCATTTCAGCAAAAGTACCTGTTATGAGTGGACCTGGGAAGGACTCAGTGGTCGAATTTCCTTCTCCTCCTTCAGATTCTGACTTCCCACCTCCTCCACCTGAAATAGAGCTTCCTCTACCACCAGTAGAGATTCCATCAGTATTTTCAGGAAACACTCCTCCAAAAGTGGCTGTTGTTAACCCTCAGCCACAGCCGTGGTCCAAGACATCAGTGAAGAAAGCCCCTCCTCCCACGAGGCCCAAACGGAATGATAGTACCCGCCTCACACAAGCTGAAACCCCAGACCAACAGGTGACTGCCACCGTCATTCCACAAGTGCCCACTTCTCCCAAGTCCAGCCTTAGCGTCCAGCCTGGATTCTTGGCTGATTTAAACAGGACACTGCAGCGCAAGTCCATCACCCGGCATGGCTCTCTCTCTTCTTCCCGAATATCTAGAGCAGAGCCAACTGCCACCATGGATGATATGGCATTACCTCCTCCACCCCCTGAACTGCTCTCTGATCAACAGAAGGCCGGCTACGGAGGTAGCCATATCTCAGGCTATGCAACATTGCGGAGGGGGCCACCTCCTGCTCCCCCTAAAAGGGACCAGAACACCAAGCTCTCTAGAGACTGGTAGCTACCACAGGATTCTGGATAATTCTTCAGTCAGCTAATCTAACCTATAAATTCAGGTGTTCAGCACCTCCTTGTGTAATAGATAATGTGATCAAAATGGTATTCAGCTGTAGCTAAGGGTAATTGTATACATTCTCCCTCCCCATCCCCCATACTTAGTCCAAAAATGAGTTGTGTGTTTTGGGTGGGGGGTGTGTGTGAAGGGGATGTGTGTGTCTTATTATCCCTTGATGTTCCTTTTTTTCTTTCACGTGGATTGGACCAAAAATCTTTCTTACTTTTCTGGATTTGAGGTTTTTTGTAGTGTCTGTCCATGTGCAATGAGACTCTGTTTGTGCATGTTTTAAAATATATATATTGAGTAGATCTATAATGGGACATTTCTCACAATTATAAAAGACAACCAGAATGTTTGGTCTATCTAGATTGTTTGAGTCTTCACTTTCAAGCATAGGGAAGGGGCATTTCAAGCCAGGAAAAGCTTAATATCTCAAGAGTGATAACAATACCAAGACAGTTTGTGACCAGCTACTAAGAATATAGACATGAGAAAACCAAAACATTCTGGGTGTAAAAACTAAAAGAAAATAGAAATTGTTTGGTGATCTGGAGTAAAATAAATTTCTGCCACCAGTAACCTTCTACAATGTGGCATTCTGTCCCTGAGGAAATAAGGGATAAATTACCTGTTAATAAGCTTTGTTAGTTCATTTTACTGTTAACCAGGAATACCATTTCAATCCCTTAAGTTTCTTGAGTTTTTCCTTGAATTTCCATGAGCTTTTAATCAAGTTTGGTTCCATGTTTCTTTGTTTTAATTCATTAGGATATTCATGTCTAGTACCAACCATCTAATGATGTTATGTTCCAGGATACCAGTTGTCCTTTACAGTGTGTGCTTTATGTAGCTGTATGTAATACACATCTCTGCATAATGTGTACACACATTATACAAATATATCATTGCCCAAAAAACATCTCTAGGGAGAATAAATACCTCGTACATTTCTGCTGCTCTCCCTAGCAGGAGCAACTAGGAATTATAGGAAAGTTAATTTAATCTTCTAGTTCTTTGTCCTTCTTGGCATTCATGAATGCATAAATCCACAAACACATTTTGTATCTTACATGGAACTTGAGAATATCATTAGACTTCAGAAGAGGAGGAGAAAGGACACAAATCAGAATCCTGTCTTTATAGATTGTGAAGGCTTATCCAGCTACCAGAGGGTGATCAAATGTCAAGTTATGCGTACTCGATACTGATCACCTGTTATGCATGTGCAGCACAGCATAAAATCATAGTGGAACAACTCCAGATCTAGTGGTGTTTTCCGAGCTAATATTGTTCCATGTCAATTTTTATTGGGAGGGAGGGGGAGGAAGAGATAGACATCAGAAATCCTGTCCTGTCACACTGATCTTGGGGAGCGGGAGGAGCTGCTTTACACAGAACACTATGACCTGCCCAGCAAGCATGAGCAAATGAAGAAAAGATGTTCATATCTGTAAAGATGAAAATGTCAAGACTGTGACCCTAAGGAAGAAAGAATCCAAGTAATAGTCATCTAGTGGGAATAAGAAAAGATTGAGCAAGTTTCACAAAAAAAATCTACTGTAAAAACTTTCCCCCATCAGAAAGCAGTGCACCCTAAAGAGACAGTAAGGAGTGAAATTAAAGTAAGCAGCACCTCCACTATCACATCACCATTCTCCTGTGTTAATATAGTTTGAGCAATAAGACCATTGTGCGTTTTAAAGCAATGCTACTTTAAAAAGCACTTTTTTTGTATTTTCAATTGTTCACAAAACTTCCTGTGTTTAACATTGATGTGCTTATGAAGTGTCCTTAAAAGCATTTGCATTGTTGATTCTGAAGCATGCCCTGGTTTAGCCAGCTAACACCGCCTTTGAGAAGGTGAAACTATGCTATTGTCCATGGGTGCTGCTGTCATTTTCCACAGCCTTCTACTTGCAATTTTGTATTGGAAGGAACACCTATCCTACCCACCTCTTCTCTGAGGTGGAAGTATTAAGAAAAGGAATCCAGATATTTATTTAGTACTGAGTTTAGCTGTGATGTCAAACTTTTATGAAGTTGGACAGAGGCCTGTTTTTTCCCTATGAAAAATCAGATCTCTTCTTTCCTTCCTTGGGCCTCCAAAATTTTTCTAGGACAATTACAGTTTGGACAAGACTTTTAAGAAATACTGATTCATTGTTCCCTATTAGATTCATTAGGATTCCCAACTTTTTCTGCCTTCTTGTTGAAGGCCAATAATTGTCACTCATTTTCCCTTGAGACCAAGGACTCTTTGAATGAGCACTAATGGAAGTTTTTGGAGGCAAGAATAATGCTCTAGATCTTTGGTAAGGAACACATTGCAGCAAGGAATTAGGAATGATTTTTTTTTTTTAATTTTGGCAGTCTTGGTTGAACATATAGTCATTCTATCTTTGAGAAAAATATAAATATAATACAAACTATCAGCTTAAGATTTACGTGTTTTCTTATGTGGATGCAGGAAACAACTGAATTATAAACTAAAATAAAAGTTCTAGTATACTCTTTGAGGGTTTAGATTATTATTGTAGAAGGTTTTGTTTTGGTTTTTTTGCTGCTGATATTTTTAAATCTTTTCTCCCCAAGGCGTTTTTGGGGAAAGATTAGGGATTCTTAAAAAAAAACTCTCAAACCTTTGATTTTGGGTATTTTTGTAGCCATTCCTTTTTCTCTGTAGGTTCAGGGAAATATATCTACTGCCAGATGACACTAGTACTGTGCCTTCCTTTAACTGCCTCTGCTAACAATTCCAATCCAGCATCCTTTTTCCAGACCAAGGAGAGAAAGCTGGAAATCCGGCTTGGCAGCATTAACTCCAAGGACCTCAAATAGTTCAGCTTTAAATTATTGCTTTAGATGGCAGTGTAAATTGGTGGTTATTACATATACTAACCTGCTTATCACCTACAAACTGTACCATTGTTGAAACTACAGCAGGATCCATTCTCTATCTGGTAATAATGTAACTTATATGGTTTTTTTTTTTTAACTTAAGCATGTTAATGTAAACATTAAAATATTCAAAAGATACAATGGGATCTGGTTTTGGAAATCAGCATCACAATTTTCCCAGTGTGGCTTTTGGTCAATGAAGGGAAATACTCTGATTTCTCTATTCCTCTCTATTTGAGGCCAGTGATTATTAGAAGGTTGCTGTAGCTCACTATTAGGTCATAATTTGCAAGTTGTTGCTTTTTTAAATGAGAAAAATAAGTCTGAAACAAATTACTAGAGAAAAGGAAAATGTCAAGCTATGCCTTACCAATCATTGATTCTTGATTGCTCTTAAAATTCCTCGTGCATTTTTGGCTGTCTTTGATTCTAAAGAGTGGTGGTCCTAATTGTCCCTTTCTAGGAGTAGATTTGCTAAGAGCCAGGTTATGATCCAAACTTGAAAATACTCCTTGGTGAGGTTATTTTTGAATGATATTATACCTAGAATGGCTCTGTTCATTTATTATCCACAGTGAGCTCTTACAAAGTAAATGTCCAAGAAATATTCAGGGAAAGTGATGGCAAGTTAAATGGGGACCCAAGGTAGCAACACTAAGCATGTTCTTCCTCTTTGTGAATGATTGCAACTGCCACAACCTAGTACTAAAGTATATAAATGCCTTTAATTACATTTAGTTTAAGTTAGCGAATAGCTACTTTTGAGCTCCTTTTTCCCCAGCTGAAGAAAGAGTGAGGGGAAAGACTTTTTCCAAAAGCTCGAGCCAAATTTTACCAGGTTCCTGAGAGAAGCATGGGTTTTCCCACCTGTCCATGGCACATTATTCCCTCTAACCACCCCCCCTCCCCCAAAAAAGGATAATTTCCTTTCGTGGTTATATCATTTATTTTAAAATTTAAGCATTTGGTTATAGCAAGTAAACCATCCTGTGAACCTCTACAGTGCAGATGTGCCTCTAATTCAGCAACCTAAACATCTGACTTTACACAAAAGACAAGAAAGCTTTGATTTCACAATGGGATTCCTTTAAATAAAAGCAACTTTCTGATGAATGCATTGATTGTGGCAAGGATACATCTGTACTCTTTTCTAATAAAATAAACTTGAGACTGGGTCCAAAGAATGAATAATATGAAAACTGTCTTCCACTAGGGATGATGGATAATAATCCTTTAGGATACATCTTTCATTGAACTCTGAAGAGAGAGAAAATTTGAATTTTCATCTACCCAAACTATTTGCCATGTTCATGTACTACAGTACATGGCTGCCCATTAACACGTAAGAAATGTAAATGTAAATTCGTGTCTACATAACCAAGAGTACAAAAATAATTACATCTAAAGAAAAAAATTGACCTCATTCACACTGAATGTAATAAAGAAAAATCCTGATTCGTTCGAGCTTCTTGGATGAAGTTGTGTGCCAAAACACTAAAGAGATTCACTGTATACCTTGAACTCCTTGGAGGAACAACATTCAAGAAATCAGTTAAGTAAATTAATTCATAATGGCTGGTGAAAGGAAGGTATATGTTGTCCAGGCACAGCAAAAATGAAACCATGGCTATTTCAGTAGATATGAACATCCCCCCAAATGGAATGACTTTAGCCATGAATGTTAGTAGGTGAGTTCAGGGCTGTCTACCAAAGATGTATTAAGTGTTAGGAAAGCCAAGTAAAAAGTAAAAGTATTGCATCTGGAAAAGATGATCAGCACAGAGGTATAAACCATGCTTTGAAAATGGACATTTGGACGGTGTTTGTTTCCATAAGTAATTTGTCATGAATAACTAAATCTATTAGCTCTTTGAGTTTAAAGAAAATCACAGTTCAGTTAAATTTCTTCTTATTTTTCTAACCTTAATAAGGACTGGCATTAGGAATAGTTTAACATAATATTTGTAAACTTACATTTCAATCACAATCACTCCCCAAAAATATTTTTTCTTTCTCTCTTAAAATAATCCTTAAGAAACAAGCATTAAGTAGAATATTTCCCATGGTTTTGCAGCTTCATTTTGTTAGCCATTAACGGAATTCTGTACAGAGATGCACATTAAAAGTCATTAGTCTGTGCAAAGCGTGTACTAGATGTAAATACATTCATGTTTACCACTTTTTAAAGAAATTGCACCTTTTATCTTTAAATGGGATTGCCTCCCCCATTTCCTACTCACCCCAAATCCTTAACCCATATTCGGGGGGGGGGGGAGAGGCTCTTAGAAACTCTAACTTCTACAGTTTGGGAGAGCTTTGCCATATATAAATATATAAATATAGACGTATGTATAAATATACTTTTTTAAGCATGGGAGAGAGGACAAAAGGAACTGCATTATAAAAGTACCCAAGATACAAAAATATGCACAATAAGGATGTAGTTAAATTCAATATTTTTTGGTCTTGTCTTTTGCATAACTGTATGCTCTTATTTCATAATGTGCCTTGCTCCCTGATTGTGTGAAATTATAGAGAGATATATTCAGTACTACTGACCATGTTTTCATTATACTGCTGGATTAAGTTATTTTACTGAGTCACTCTCTTGCCAATTATTGTTAGTAAACTATTGTAATGGCTTAGGATGGTGGTCATGAGGTCAGTGTAAATTTTTTTTCATTTACATGTTTCCATTATGTAAGTTTACTGAAACCTTAATAAAATATTGGCTTCATCTATATGTGGGTTTTTTTTCCCCCTCAAGCTGATCTGCAAATATCCACTCTTCTAAGTGGCCAAACAACTGCTCTTTCGTCTTATACCATTATTCTAAATAGCCCATTATTCATCAAGGGTTATTTTTTTGCTTTCTCAGGACCTAATAAGCATGCTAATAACAGGTTGTGAATAAACATAAATGGACATGCTTGAATAGCAGCAGTCCCTTGCATCAATTTTTTTTCCTGACGTTGTTTAGGGGCAGATGGGAGAAAGGCAATGAGGGGAACCACTCAACATTAGAAAAGGTGAGCCTGTTAATTTTGGACTTATATCAGGGCTTCTTAAACTTTGTCCAATCACGACCCCTCTTCCAGTTTCATTAGCCTTTGTTGGCTTGCATGGCCTGAGGGCATGAGCAGTGCAAATTGAGCCTACTTTGTGTTCAGAACCCAGGCTGCAGTGAAGTTGTGTGATGCAATACGGGAGTAAGTGCTGCCAGAAACATCTCAGATTCATTATGCGTTTGATTTTTAATTAGTTTTTCATCACTGGGCGTTCAGAAACCTTTTACTGTTGCCATGGGGCCGCAACTGCAGTTTAAGAAGCGCTGCACTAGGCTGAATGCTAAGCTCTCAACATCACTAACTTATAGAAAGGAATTTTATTTGAAAAAAGCTTTTATGTACTTGCGTCTTATTAGTTTTCTCTTCATTTATACAAGCATATTGACCATGCTACCTTTTTCAATAGCATTTTCCATTTTCCCGGCTGTTGTCAGGTAGAGGATCATACTTTTAAGGCTAAAACAAACTACAGTCATCTAGTCCATCATTTTGAAGACAAAGAAACTGAGGCCCAAAGAAGTTACTTGAACTAGATAGCCAAGAGTCAAATAAGATTATCTAGCACTCTCATCAGAAAGAGTACTTTGTGATCTTCAAAGAAAAGAATGAATGATTGGTCAGCATTCCAATGCTGTAGGCACCAGTTAAACCAATAAGCTCAAAGTCTTCTGGTTTTACATATAAGCCTGAAAAGGGTATTCAGCCAGTTTTATATATAAGCAAATAAAATTTAGAAAAAATGGTTAGATGACACCCAGAGTCACATAGCTACTAAGCGTCAAACAGGATTCGAATTCAGGTTCTTTCTGACTCTCAATTCTCTCTTCAGAGAACTGTGTGTGACCTTGGGCCATAATTTCCTCATAATTAAAATGGAATGGATTAGAATATATGATCTACAGACCTATGAAGACAAGTGTAAGTCAGCCCAGGCTCGTCAATACTATCTCTCCTAAATATTCTCTTCCTCCGATAACCTAGACAGAAGCCCTTAAGCACAGATTTATGTAAACCTTTGAACTCTTTTGAACACCAATTAAGAGCTGCTTTTGATATTTGTTAAGGAAGTGACAAGAGCTTAAAACCCAGAGCTTATATGTTTGACAGCATGTTAAGACAGATACAATTGCTAAGCAAGCAAATAAAGAGATACTAAAATTTTAAGTAGGTTAAATCATAGCAAAGGGAGGAAAGATTGTTGCATGCTTAATAAATATTAAAACCAAATTTAGGAATATTGAAGTTTTAATGAGACAGAAATGACATTTTAGCACAAAGGTTAGTCAGTTACATGATGCTTGAAGTCCCAGAATATATTTTGGATGTAATGCTGTTGGCCCTGCTCAACTTTTAGTTTTGGGGTCTTTACTCAACCTTATATAACTAAGAACAAAGCTGGACAGGACACCAGAAGATGAGTTAGGACTACAAAGCTAGACAACTAGAGGAAGAGTTGTCGAGGGATATGGGGGGACCTATTCCTCTTCAAGGTGAAAGGGCAGAAAAAGCTATATAATTAGTTACTTTATTTAAGCATTTATTTGAGTAGATAATGTAATCTGAATACAATAAGAGATCAAGGAGATAAAAAGTTTTTAGTCTAGCCCAAACATTTCAGGACATAATTCTGAAACCTCCTTGGGGGGTTAGGTAGTGTTGAAAGACTCCAGAAGGCTCCTTTCAGAATTAATTTATCTATGCACCTGAGACAAGTTTCCGTGAAGATATGAGCACAGGGCACAGTCTGGCTCCTGCTAGTCTCCTTCACATCAAACTGGCCAACAATGCTCTAGGCTTTTGGGTCTTCCTCCACTGCCTACGATGAATCTTCTCTTTTAATACCAGCTCAGGATTTACCTCCTCCATGTTTTCACTTTTTAATGCTATCTCCCTTTTCAAAGATCTTGTGTATTTCTCTGTGTCCATGTAAACTCTCAGCAGAACAGAATGCTCTTGGAGGATAGGAACTATAAAACTTTTGTCTGTCTTCTGCCAACACAAGGTGCCATCTACAGGAGAGATGCTTTAAGAATGTCTGTTGAACACTGGGGAGGGGAATCTAGACCATGGATTCTAGGAATCTAAAGTGAAGACAAAAAAAAAAAAATTAAGTCCTCTTAATTCTGCCATATTTTCCAAAACCACTTCAGCCATCACTTTCAACACCCACTGTTTCAGGCTATAAAGATGTACATTACTAGCACTTGCTCACATAGAACACCAGTTTAGATTTTGTCTATAAGGCTCAAAAGGCATCAGCCTAAAACAGCCAGAATGTATATCCTATGTAATCATTATCGAGCCTGTCCATTATGGCATCTAGTTGAATGCCAAGAATTAATCAGTTGTTTACAAGAAACACCTATTTTTTGAGAATTTTATTGCCCACCTGATTTCACATCTCCAGCAGAATTGGGGATCTAAGACAGGAAAAGCATCTGAGTCAGTTTCCTCATTTGTCAAATAGGAACAATAATATAATTCACAGGGTTGGTGTGACTATCAGAGCATTCTGAAATTATTAACTGCCACATAAATGAGTTATTAATATAGCTTGGTACGTACCCAGCCATCACCCCAGGAATAGCAGAACAACTAGTCTATAAAAGACCAATAACTGAAAGGGGGAAAAAAGAATTTTCAACTTTATTAAAAGTAGTTTAATGTGATATACCAAGAATAATCCCCAAAATGTCCTTCATTTAGATCCTCAGTCATCTTTTTTTTAATCTATTACGAAGTTAGAATGCTTACACATCTCCCCCAAATCCTTTAGAAACAACATACTTTAAGGACAATTTGATACCATGTAAGTTCAAATGGTTCCATTACAAGAATAAATACATTCACCAGTCACTTCTATGTGCTTTGTGGGTTTTTATTTAGGACTTAAAACAAGTTCTTAATACACAGCAACAGTTAATTCCAAGTACAATCTAAAAAAAATGTAAAAAGTTGATGTTCCCCCTCATTTGGAGGCAGCTTAATGGCACACATACACTACACGTTACTCGTAGCAGACAAGCTGCTCCCCGGAGTCCTCCGTGACTTAGAACATTTCACTGCCACCAACTACCTTCTCTCTGGGAGCTAAGAATACATCAATTGGATTAGTTTGCACTGCCAGAGCACAAATCACGGCCATCCTACTTGTAAACCATATTTTTCTGTTGTTTCTTAAAAATGTACATGGACACAAGGTATGGTAGAAACTGCTTTTCCATAGAATTCTGAAGTTGCAAAAGACACTTCCATTTTATGTGAAAATAAGCACTTTTGTGTGTTTTATTTATTTTTTACAAAAATGTTTCAAGATATTTAGCAAGGTTTATTTGCGTAAATAATCCATTTGTACACAGGTTGGCCCTGTCTTATTTGTCAATTTTCATATCATTGTATGAGTTTCAATAAGAAATAGGAACAAATATTAGCAGAAAATAAACTTCAGCTATCAAGCACAATGCCTCTTTAGTGGATGGCTCTTTATAAGCCTCTCTTATAAGATTGCTGTGCAGTGCACCTCCCACTGCTAAAATACCATATAAAATGTGTTTGCAACATATGCCTTGTCAAGGAGAGAAGACTACTTGTACTAAATAGCAATTCACATTGAAGTACCATTTTTTAAAATTCCCATTTCGCTAATGAAGGTTGCACTCAGCATACTGATTTAATAATTCAAAGAGGAACTGTGAATAATACTCTAATGGCATTTATCAAAACATGGCCATTCTTTTTTCAAGTATCTTCCTAAAGACATCAAGTGGAACGCCAATGTTCTCACAGTTTTAAAGAAAAACATAGCATATTTAATCAAAACAGCATGGTATAGTGGAAAGACCACTGGACTGGGTGGCATGATTCTAGTCCTGGCTCTACCACTAACTAGCTGCGGGACCTTGAGCAAGTCACTTAATGTCCCTGGGCCTCAGTTTCCCCATCTGTCAAAGGAGGGGGCTGAATTAGATGACCTAAGGTCCCTTCTGGCTCTAATAATTTTTATGAATCTAAGTAAACCCATTTGGGGATATTTCCCCCCTTAACACCAGTGAAGGTGGAATTCCCAACCAGTGAATTATGTGTAAACTGATGGAAATTATATGCCTACCTTCCTAAATACTTAGAGATTGCCTGCTACCCTCTACATAAGGCTGTTTTTAGTGTCATGGTGAGGCCAGGACACAACATGCTCTCTCCACCAGAGAAATATGTGGTTAAGGACAATAGGAGAGGTATTCTATTTTGAAGGCAAGTGCTGGAATAAGAAAAAGTTCAAAACACAAAAAAAGGACACATAATCTCCTACCTCACCAGAACTTAAAATTTCATTAAGTAGCCTTTTTTTTCCAGGAAGTAGTAAGACACTGATGAAGTAACTGAAAAATTACCACCACAGCTACATGAATACTATCATTATAAAGATGAAAGAAACTCTAGTAAATTATTAAACAAAATCAGAAAGGGGCAGGGGGTATCCTTCTGCCTGGTAACACAGAATCAGTCCCTCAGAAGCATGACATCACTACCAGCTGCCCGCTTACCCTAACTAAAGTGCCAAAAACAAGGACCACAGAGGGAAATAGAAACAAAACAGCCAAGCAAAAGAAAACACTGCTGAACAAGACAAGAGGAGGCTCATCTTTATCAATCCAAGAGCAGGTTGAGCCTTGCAACATCCTCTATTGGCACTTTTTATTTTAAAGTTTATGTCATCTTCACCCTAAGGCCGTAGAATAAGGAAGTGTATTTTCATTCATATCCATGGAAATGAAACACCAAAAGAGGAACAGCCATATTGGGCGCTTTGAGGGATGAGAAAGGGTGAAGGTAAAACCAAATATAATCTAGGAAAACATGATTCCATAGGGAAAAAGTTTAGTTTTGATTATGTTCCTAGAACACACTTTATGGTGGACCGTGATAGCATTCCCCTCATCTCTAGTGACAACATTGCTCGAGGGCTGGTCAGTAGCTTTTGGACTGGGATCATCTTTGCTGCAGCATTCTGCACTGCTTCTCAAATTTAAGTTTTTCCAAGCTTTTTTAAAGTTATTTTTTCAGTAGGACAAAAGGGGGAAACTTACAAATGATAAAATTGGAAACAGCACCTTCACTATTAGTAGCATGCAGTCTATGAAATATTACATACATTAAATTCTCCAATTACTCTGGATTTTGATCACATAGAATCCTCCCTAAACAAGCTATAGAATTTTAAACTGTACAAAATAAAAAATATGCATGAAATCCAACAGGTTTGTTGTTTTTTTTTTATACATCAGTACTGAATAGAGCAAAAACCAGCAGCAATTGACCCATGGACTCCCTCCACAGTGACTCTACAAGATGAAAAACTTCACAAATGTCATCAGCAGATAGCAAAGAAAGCACTCGAGCAAGAAGCAAAATCCATTCCTAGAGAAAACCCTAAGCTTATTTATCTCTGAAAGCCTAGCTCAGCTGAATCTGTTTCTGTAACTGAATTTGATGAGCTGTCAAGATTACCTTTTGGACTTCAAAAACGTGTCTGCTTTGCGAACCCACTAAGCACTCTGAGGCAGAAAATCCAGCAGGTATGAACAGATACCGGGAACAAATAGTTTAAGGAATGTATCTTTTAAACTAAGATATATACCTAGTACTAACCACCACCACCACTCCACCTCTCCCTTCCCCCCCCCAAAAAAATCCTAGGCACATCAATCCACTTCAGGCAATAAAAGAGAGTCTTAGCTTATCTTAGAGTCAGTCACAGATTGGTTCTAAAAAGGAAATAAAAGGCTCAAAGAGATCTCAGTGCTAATTTGAGAAAAAAAGATTTTTGGTCGAGTTTGCTTAATAAGAGTGCTCAGGCACAAGTGAGTAAGCTGGTGAGAACTAATACGGGATTCCCAGCTGTTAGAAGACCTGAAAACATGATTATTAAATGACTGTGGAAAAGAAGCAGGGTAGAGTTGTTTTTTGCTTTTTAAATAAAAGAAATGTATAGCTGGACCTCAGTTAAAATTTTGAAGAAGCTTTGTGGTCAAAGACCTGAATTTCCTTTCATGCTAACACCCTACCCACCTGTCAGTTCAAGTACACTAAACCTTGCTGTTCTGTCAGCACTGTGGACACCCTGACCTAGCCTGGCCTAGCTCAATTCTGTCCAAGTATCTAGAACCCTGGTCGATAGCATCAGGGTGAACTGAACTGGTCCCCCCTTAGCAGAATATTTCTTATTCAGGACTAACATCCCCTACCAGGATTATGGGTCTTTGTAGATAATTTTAAATTAACTCTGTGGAAAAATTAAGGTTAAAAATGTACTGTTCTTTTAAATCTGGGAGCTGAACTCCAAAGTTATATTTGTTGTGCAGACACAAAAGTTAATAATTTCTGCTACAATCTGTTGAAGTTCCACTAGAAAGTTTAGCGCACATTAACTAGTAGTACCAGTACTTGACCTACTAAGCTTATTCCACTACTGCAATTTTAATCCTGGATAAATCTAAAGTGAAAAAATATTTTAATAGGGATATTTCCTATTTAATAGGAAATTTCCTATTTAATAGGAAATAAGGAATACCTTATTTTCCAACTGAGAACAAGAGACTCAAGGATTTTGTTCTGAGTTTTTTGTTTTTTAAATTTTTCAATAGGTATAAGGGGAAAGCAGCTTAGACAGTAGTACAGGTAAAGCCGGTCTTTAATGATCACAGAGAGTAGCAATCCTTCAATTTCCACTGTGGAGACTTGCCAACAGACCCAAAAATTGCTTGTTCTTTCCAAATAAGATGAATAAGATTTTTCTACATACTGAAAAATTCAAAGAAACATCTGCTCTGAAGTCAAAGCGTTAATGCTCAGAACAAAGTTTTCATCTTGACTACTAATGAGAACATATGTCATTCAAATGTTAACTTAAAATCTTCAGGCTTGAACCTGAAGGAAATATAATGTCCATTTCACTACACCCTGTGCTATGAGATGACTAACCCTTGTTACATAAGTAGTCTGGATATACACTTCATCAGTGGCAATGTAGTTTTCATCAGAATACTAAAGCAAATTTGTGGCACCAGTTAGATAGCTTTAGAAGTCCCTAACACTTTCTAAACTTCATCATCTAAATGATTTTGGCTGACAGTTATCAAGAGATAAAAGTCAGTTTTGCATTCACTTGCTTCAGCCACAGAGTGCTAAGAAACTGCAAATTCTAATTGCATTAAACAAGTAACAAACAACCTGGAAAGCTTTTTATGTGAACTTTCATATACATTCTCCAGATGCTTAATCTTCAGGTGGAAGGAAGTGACCAAGATGCTCACTGGGTCATAAGGTTAACACCATGACATTATCATCCTGGCACTGCTAATGCCAAGCAATAAAGCAAGGGAGAAAAACTCTGGGTTAGATAAGATTCCTGAGAGAGATCCTAGATTCTACCTCAGTCTTATTTTTGACGTTGTTTCAGTTACATATATAGATCATTTCATTTTCTACACACCCAGAGATGAATATGTCAGCTTATTTACTTCAAAGAGTTCAGCACAGCCACCACTAACCATCAGAAGATCCATTTTTCATACTTAGGTCACTAACTTGCTTTTTTATAATAATTTTTAAGCCAAAACACATAAGTAGTTTTATTACAATTATCCTTATCCTTCATCCATGAGTTTGTTCCCCAGAGCCTTGTGTCAATCTGGAAAGCCCTTAATAGTTCCTTTTGATCTCGGTACATCGTCAGTCTTCACTCAGAATAATGCATGATGGACTCCACGTAATTACCTGGGAAGAGCCCCGTCACTCCATTCATGACTCCCTCATACCAACCATCATCATTCTTCTTGATGACATAAATGATAGCTCCTTCCTGAAATGAAAGCTCATCCTCTTTGTCTTTTGTGTAATCATAAATCGCAACAACTAGAAAAAAAATGAAAGTAAGAAAAATATATAGGAAGGAAAAAAACTACGATTGAACATGTCAGCATAGGGAGTCTCTCTCTAAGTCACTCAAATAGCACAGTAATTTTCTAAAAACATATTAAAAAATGTCCTGCCTGTGTGTTGATTACAGACTTAGCTTACTCAAAGTGGCAGACTTAACATTTTAACCAGAAGAAACATTGAGCTTCCCTAAAGTCTTCCTGGTTCAAAAATATCTCGTTATTAGGACCATTGCAATGATGTCATAAACATGCCCTAAGTAAGTCAGTTGATAAGCATTTATTAAGTGCCTACTATGTGACATTGTGCTAAGCACTGAAGTTACAAAAAGAAGCAAAAGACAGTCCCAGCCTTCAAAGAGCTCACAATCTAATTACAGAGGATGCACTATACTTTTTTTTAGGGTGAAGTGAATTAGAAAACTGCAATTATTTCAATTCTGCTTGAAGAGTCTTCTCTGATCACCTTGTAGGATGCAAACATTACTCTCTATCACCCAACTATTTCTTGACCTAACCTCAGCATCTTTGGTAACTTTAATAAAAATTTTCCTCAGTTGCAACTTGCATCTGCTCTGTGTTATCTTGTAAAGGGTTAAGTTTAATTATAAAGCCTTAGACTTCTCAGGAAAATTAGAAATGAACTAATATATGTTTAAAAGCCACTTTTCTCCTCTTTGGCTTGTTATATTGTAGAATATTAGCACTAGGTGATTTGATGAAAAATTTGAAGTCTCTGGTCCATTTGAGCAAAATCCAAATGGTTCTCAATTAAGCTTTGAAATTATTTGTATTATAGTAGGAGAAATAGATAACACTAATATTTTATCAATTGATCAATAAGCATTTTAATAAAGCACTGCTAGGCACCGTGCCAGGTATTGAAAATATAACCCTTACCTTCAAGGAGCTCACAACCCATTAGGGATGACAAAATGCCCATATGTGTAGAAGTATGTACAAAACACATACACAAGATATGTGCAGAAATTACTTTTTAAAAAATGTTTTAGGGTCAGCTAGGTGGCGCAGTGGATAGAGCACCGGCCCTGAAGTCAGGAGGACCTGAGTTCAAATCCGGCCTCAGACCAAACACTTGACACGTACTAGCTGTGTGACCTTGGGCAAGTCACTTAACCCCAACTGCCTCACTTAAAAAAAAATGTTTTGCATTTATAAAAACTCCTTTGAGACAGGAATTTAATTTTTAAAGTAAATTTGTATTGATGTTTTTTGTTTTTACATTCTCAGTCAATAAGTATTTATTAAGTACCTACTATGTGCCAAGCACTGTGCTAAGCTTGGGAGATATAAAGTCAGTCCCCGCTCTCAAGATTTGCTCACAGTCAAAAGGGGGAGACATAAAAACACACATATACAAATTATATACAGGCTAAATGGGAGATAATTAATGAGGGAAGGCACTAGAATTATTAGAGGATCATAAAAGGCTTCTCATACAAGGTGCAATTTTAGTTGGGACTTGAAGGAGAGATGGAGAAGGAAAAAATTCAAGGGATGGGGGATAGCCAGTTAAAACTTCAGAGTCAGGAGATGGAGTGTCTTGCTCAAAGAATAGTAAGGCAGCCAACATCATTGGATCTCAGAGTATGTGAAAGGGAATGAGAGGGGAATAATGTCTAAGTAATAACTATAAATGTAAGAGAGGGTCAGGCTGTAAAAGGTTTTAAATGTCAAACAGGATTTTATGTTTGATCATGGAGGTGGAAGGGAGCTACCAGTGTACTGAATGGGGAGAATCTTCACTATAGGAAGATACGTGATGACAGGTGAGTGGAAGATGGACTGGAGTGGGGAAAAACTTGAGGACCATCCTAGAAAGCCATTCCATATAACAACTATTTTTTTTTCGGCTGTTTGGTGGGGCAATCAGGGTTAAGTGACTTGCCCAGGGTCACTAAAGTATCAAGTATCTGAACTCACATCTGAACTCAGGTCCTCCTGACTCCAAGGTCAGAGTTCTATCCACTGTGCCACCTAGTTGCCCTCAACAAAATTTTTTTAAAGAAAAAAAAATGGAAAAAATCAGCAAAGGATCAATACCTCAACAAAGTCTGAAAATGTATGCAATGTGTAACACTTGTGGACCTCCCATCTCTGAAAATAAGTAGTATGGGAGTGTCTTCTCATATCTCTTCTTGGGGCCATGCTTGTTCTTTGTAATTCTGCAATGTTCACTTCTGGTTGTTTTGTGTTGGTGGTTGTTGAGGTCATTTTGCTTACCATTTTCTTGGCTCAGCTTACTTTACTTTGCAGCAATTTATAGAAATGTTTCTATGCTTCTCTGTACTCAACATCTTTGTCCTTCTTACAGCAGAACAATATGCCAGTACAATCATGTGCCACAATCTGTTTGGCCATTTGCCAATCAAGAGACATCTACTTCTCTTCCAATGCTTTGACACCATAAAAAATGCTGTTATATTTTGATGTATATGAGGACTTTCTTCTTTCTTTCAAATCTGCCTCTTTGAGGTATAAGCCTAGTAACAGAATCTCTGGGTCAAAGGGTACAGACATTTTTGTCACTTCATATGCATGATTCTTCACTGCTTTCTAGAAGGGATTCTCTACCATGTCACAGCTCCACGACAATGCACCAAGGTGTGCTACATTCTAACAACACTCCTACACTGATTAGATCCATCTTTTGTCATCTTGGGCAGAAACTGTTTCATTTCTACCTTTGAAACCCCAGGGCTCAGCAAAGTGCCAAGAAATAGCACTAATTTAATAAATGTTTACTGAATGAATGACAGGCTCCATACTAGCAGCAAGCACTAATGGCAAGATGCGTTTCCATTTTTTGTGCCTTGCTTGTTATTATCGGTCATGGAACAACGTTACCTTGTTGTGTTCTATCAAGGAATTTCAAAATGTTCTTAACATATGCGTGGTAGAAACTAAATTGGAGGAGAGTCTTCAAAGCCACATTTTGCTCTACTGAATCAAAATCAAATGAGGCAAAATCAGCCTTTAAGTGCAGAAACATGTGAAAAGTCATTTTAAAACAGTAAGAAAAGGTAAGGAAAAAATTGTCCATTTTTCATTTGTTGAAAGCAATGAATGAGAGGGAAATGAGCATTTTTAGGAAGCAATTAATGTATATTCTTTTAAACTAGTTATAATCAAGACTAACCTTCTTTGAAATCTACTTAAATGTTTATGTTTTATTCAGAGTAAGATTGAAAAAAGAAAAAAGAAAAGACTATTACACTTCTCCCCTTATAATCTAGCTTCCGACTTCATCATCCTATTGAAACTGCTTTCTCCAAAATTACTAAAGATCTTTAGCTGCCAAATCCACTGGCCTTTCCTCAGTCCTCATTTTCCTTAGTCTCTCTGCAGCCTTTGACAGCACTGACTGCTCTTTCCTCGATACTGTCCTTTTGGGATACCACTCTCTACTGGTTCTTCTCTTTCCTATCTCATCACTCCTACATCTTTTTTGCTGGATCCTCTTGCAGATCATGCCCGCTAACCACAGGTGTCCCTCAGGGTTCTGTATTGGGCCCTATTCTCTTCTCTCTAAACCACTTCACCTGCTGACCTCATCAGCTCCCATGGATTTGGTTACAATCTCTATGCTGATGATTCTCAAATCTACCTATCCTGCCCAAACTCTCTGCTGACCTCCAGTCTCACATCTCCAACTAACTGCCTTGCAGACATGTCAAACTTGATGACATCTTAAACTCAACGTGTCCCAAATCAAACTCATTGTCTTTCCCTCTAAATGCTCTTCCTCTCCTAACTTAGTATTTACTGCAGAGGGTAACACCATCCTCCCAGTCTCTTGGGCTCACAACCTAGGAGTCATCCTGGACTCCTCACTATCTTTCACTCCACATACCCAATCTATTGCCAAGGCTTATAGATTTCATCTTTGTAACATTTCTCCAATACCCCCCTTTCTCTCCTCTGACCCTCCCTCCACTGGAGTACAGGCTCTCATCACCTCATGCTTGGATAATTGCAATAGCGTGCTGGTGGGTCTGCCTGCCTCAAGTCTCTGCCCATTCCAGTCCATCCTCCATTCAACCACCAAAGTGATTTTCCTAAAGTGCATGTTTGATCATGTCATGTTCCACCCCCTTTCCCATAAATTCCATTACCTCTAGGGGCATTCAAAGTCCTTTCCTATCTTTTCAATCTCCTACTCCTTACATTTGCATAAAAGACTATTCTACAGAGAACTCACACCAGGAAAATGTTTACACGGAGGTCAGAAGACAGGATACAGAGACCCTCTCAAGGTCTCTCTGAAGAACTCTGGAATCAACTGTGAGACCTGGGAGACATGGTCATAGGACTGCCCAGCATGGTACACTGCCATAAAAGAAGGTGCTGTGCTCTATGAGCAAAGCAGAATTGTGGTGGCTCAAAACAACCCAAAACCAGGAGATGCACAAATTTAGAGACATCTCCACTCCAAATGTTCACGTGGACAACCTGTGGTAGAGTGTCCCAAGCTTATACTGGTTTGATCAGCCACAGTAGGACAAACTGTACCTTGTCCCCAACATAGTGATGTCATTTTGGTCCTATTCAAGAATGAAGGACCACAACCAGCACCCTACTTCCCCACACATACTCTTTCATCCAGCGATACTGGCCTTCTAGCTCTTCCACGAACAAAACACGCCATCTCTTGGCTCTGGGTGTTTTCACTGACCCCCATGCCTGGAATATTCTCCCTCCTCCAGTCTACCTACTGACCTCCTTTAAGTCCCAACTAAAATTTCATCTTTTATTGGAAGCCTTTCCAAACTCTTCTTAATTCTAGTGCCTTCCTTCTGTTAATTATTTCATACTTATCCTATATCTATATATAGCTTGTTTTATATATATTTGTTTGCATGTTGCCTCCCCCATTAGACTGTAAGCTCTTTGAAGGCAGTGACTGTCTTTTGCCTCTTTCTGTAATGTCAGAGTTTAGCATATGCCCAGCACTTAATAGGTTTACTAGATGATTAATCATTTTGGGAGCAGTTGAGAGATTTTCTTTGAACTGAAAATGATGACACCATCATTTTCCCTAATACTGTTTTTCTTTCAAGAGTATTCCCCCTAAACTGAATACTCTCAAAGATATTTATTACTCATGCTTCCTTGGTGGGCAATGTCTTACTGGTTTTTAATTTTCTTATTGAATTTCTGTGTTTTTACCTTATTTTCATTTCATTTCACCTTATTGTTTTTGCCTCATATATAGGCAATGATAAACTTTTCCTTAGAAACACTCATAAATTTACCTTTCAAGTGAATTGAGTTTTTAAGTATGTTTCTTTTTTGGAAGAAACTTTTCTATGGCAATCCTTATTCTTAAACTAAATATCATGATTCACTACACTACAAAATAATTCTTTAGAAGCTTAAATGGCAAAAGTAACTTTAAAAAATCTTTAAATATTCATGGGAAACACAGAAATGTCATTTCCCTGTCTTTGATAAAACAACTAATTACAGTTACACAAGAGGTGATATTATATGAAAGACAGGTAGGTACCTCAACTGAAGATGACCAGAATTTTCAAACTATAGCCTAGTAGTGCTTTTTAAAATCACAAAAATCTTTAAAACCGACATGAGAATTTGAAGAATATAACACAAATGGAATTTTACTTGGAAGCAGATAGACAACCTGAGATTGTTTTTAGTATCAATACAGCTTCATTTCTGTTCAGAATTAATTTCTTTCTCCACATATTATTTTACATTTACCTTTTTCTAAATAGGTCCTTGGTGCCCAGGGAGGATCCTCTTCAGCATAGGGATCGCTGTACTCTACCACAGCTGCCTCCTCCTCCTCATAATCTTCTGGTGGTGGAGGTGGAGGCGGTGATTCATCAAAGACTGGTTCTTCTGCAGGAGGTGGAGGAGGAGGAGTGTCTGAAACTAATAAATCATCAAGATGATAACAAAAATATACAATATACAGATTTGGAATGCCCTCATTCTAAGACTGTACTATCACAGCATTCAAAACTAGATTTGGAAATGGACAATACTTTAGAAAAAAAAACAGTTAAGTTAAAAAGAAAACAATAGCCTGCCAAAATTTCAGTGTCTGAATCTTCAAGTCTGATATTCTTATAAATCATCTTGGGTTCTAACGGGACCTTCAAATTTATCCAAGCTAACCCTTGCCTGACGCATGAATTTTGCTGCTATTATCCTTTGAAATTATTTAGCCTCTGCTTAAACATATCCAGTGTTGAGAAAATGTCTAAATCAGCCCACTCCATTTCAAACAGATGTAATGGATAGAAAGGTCTTCCTTATGAAGAGCTGTCATATACCTCTTGGGAACTGCTATCCATGAAAACTGTTCTTCATCTCCCCACCCCACACCTAGGATTCAAAGAACAAATCTAAGCCCTCTTCCATGTTCAAATATTTGAAGACAACTACAACTGTCCCCCAAGTCTTTTTACCAGAGTATCTTTATGTCATGGTTTTAAGTTCCCTTGATATCCCTGGGTCAACCTCTTCTGGATGTCCTCCAGCTTATCAATGCTTCTATCAAAATATGACACCTATAACTTACTACAATATTTCAGATGTGGTCTGATTAGGTCACTATACAACAAACTATTACTTCTCTTAATCTTAAATGCACAATTTTATTAATGAAATCTAATCTTATTTTGCCAGGGATAGGAGGAGTGGGAGAATGGAGGTAGGGGAGGACACCAAATAGATCACATTTTTGACTCATTTTGATCTTGCAGTCAACTTAAAGTTCTAAGTCTTTCTCAGATGAACTGATCTCTAGCCACCACCTTCTTATTTCTAAACTTGTAGAGTTTATTTTTTTAACCTGATTTAAGGACTTTACATTTGTCCTCATTAAATTCTGTCTTTTTAGATACAGTCCATCTTTCAAATTAAGAACTGCAAAGAATTTAATCAAGTCATACAACTAAAGAGTCACAAAAACATACTGGCTATTCCTGTAGATTTTTTCACCTGCAAATCTCAAAAGCATTCTTTCATCCAAGCCCCTGAAAAATACTGAACAAAAAGTAATTACAAATAGACCTGTAGCATATCACTAATAACACATTCCTCCAAGTTGAAATCAACTTATGAATGGAGACAGTATGGTACAGTAGAAAGACTACTGGCTCCGGAGTCCAAGGACCTTTACTCAAATACCGTCTTTGATACTTACTACCTGTGTGACCTGAGACAAAGCACTTGGCATCTCTGGGACTCAGGTTTCTCATATGTAAAATGAGAGGTTTGGACTAAAGGGCATCTGAGATCCTTTCCAACTCTACATCTAGCCTTTGGATATGGTATTCCACTAGTTCTGAATCTTCTTAATTAAGCTAATCGTATAATCCATATGTCTCCAATCTGTCTGTAAGAATATCATGAGAGACTTTGTCAAATACCAAACAATATTCCTAGTATCTATCAAAATAGTAATACTGTTAAAAGAGAAATTCAGGATTTTCTGTCATGATGTATCTTAACGAAGCTGGCTCCTAGTGATCATGACATAGCTATTAAGTGCTTACAATCACCTATTTAACGAAAGCAGTCCATTATCTGGCAGAATTTTTTTGTCTGTTTTTGAAGACTCCAATTATCTATTTCTTTTTCTCTTTTCCATGATTCCTTAAAGATCAATGACCTTAGAGATTGCATCTGTGAATTCAAGTGAAATCAGTTCACTTGAAAGCCTGGGATTTAATTCATTCAGGTCAGGAGATTTGAACTAATTTAGTAAGCAAGAACCTAGAGTAAGGTACACTATCTTTTTAAGATCTTTTCATAAGGAACAGTCAAAGGTAAAAAGGACAGAAAAAATGTTTTGTGAAAAAAGAGAGATTATATTAGTTATCAAAAACTAATCACCATTATTGTGAACATTTTCATACCTAATGAGTATGTTTTAATATACACTGAAAAAATATCTGTATGAAACAGCTTTCAACTTATATTCTAGACAGTTGTCTTATAGTGTGGATTTTTGAGGAGTTGGGTTTTTTTGTCAACAAGGTAAAATGATACCCTGCTTGTGCAGGCACTGTTTAATGTTGCAAAGAGATAGAACAAGATCTTTTATTTATTAAAAACAAGAGATATGCGAATGTGAAGAAAAACAACTTTTTAAGGGTACCAAAAAGATACACAACCTTGTTGGAGATTTCTACCTCCATCCTTTATGATGCTTAATGACTAAAAAGGGTAAAACTAAAAAAAATGTGAGATCATATCAATATCTGGAGACTACGAGTGAGGTATCATTTTTAAAGGATTGTCTATTTGATCAAAGATATGTGGAGAGTTATGACCTTTTAAGTAAAAGATGAGTCCCTGGAAGTCAAGAGGCTCTCATTTAAAGCATTAAGGAGAATACTAGAAGGCAAGAGGCATCTATCCAGCAAGACAACAACAAGAGAGGAAGTGGACCTAATAAGAGTTAAAGACAGAGCAGGGGCAGTTAGAGGCAGCTCTGTGAGGAAAGACTGAATGATGCCTGCTTGGGTGAGGACAGAACTGATATCATTGGCCAGTAGCTCCAGGAACAACTATTGCCCTCTTCAACACCACCTAGAGTACCAGGGAAGGCTTGCTGCTCTTTGCTGCTACCTCTGGCTTGAGAAGGAAAAGCAAATGCTGTGGAATCCTTTTGAACTGGTTTAAACACTCTATCCGAATTGTGCTGCTGTGAGCTGTTCTGATTGGATAGTGCAGCATCCTGGAAGGTGAATGACTGGCTGGGCTGGGCTTTATAGCTAAGATATAGCCAGTTTCGTGAGCTTGGCAGTCATCTGGTTTATTTAAAGAGAATTGCTATTCACAATGAGTTAACATTTTCTCAACATTTTTTAAGGATGCAGATTTAAATTCAATTCAATTAAAATTAAAATTGTAAAGGTAGGAGAGGGGGGAGAGTGAGGAAAGGAAAGGAGACAAGAGAATAGGATTTCTTTTTAGTTGAAGAGATGTAAAATTCAATGCTCAAGCAGTGAATAAAGAAGCAGTTCTGTTTAAAAAAAAAAAAACAACGAATAATCCTGAATAGACCTATCATATTGAAGATTGCATTCCACAGTTGTGAATTACCATAAGCATATGAGTTTTACTTCTTAGTGTCTGTCAGGTTCCTAGAAGTTTGTGCTAATGGAAGTATATTTCCCCTCAACTGGGTCACCCCTAGGATACTAAAAAAGTTCAAATGTACCCCTGAAAGTGGTCTGTCTCTGCAACTTTAGACCTGCTGGTACATGGTGAAGTTGAAGGAGTGAGCCAAATCCAAGAAGAAAAGGTATCTCCCACAGCTAGGTATGAGGCCCCAAGTGGTACAATGTGGGGGTTTCTACACTACAGTGTAAGAACAGACCCCACTGGGACATAATTGTCTCATTATATCATGGGGACACTGAAATAAACTAGACATGTATTCAAGGAGTTACACTAATAATTCTTTACCATGTTTGTTTGACCCCTTCCAGTGTGAAGATCATTATATCCTTCAAATAGAAAATGTAAGGAAAATTGCATCTGATTAAGTGCCCCTTTCATTTTTTTCTGTTAATATTCCAACTGTCCCCAATGTAGCTATAAAAGCTCCTTCTGTCCTAAGCGTTTTCCAGAGGTCTAAGTTCATTCTGGGCTATATCGTTCCTGACAACTCTCTCACACATCTACACATACACATACACACACCCACATAATACCAGTCAGAATCAGAAGCTGGAATGTCATGTTCAAGTAACATCAGGAAGCCAGTGCCACTAGACTGAAGACTGGAAAAGTCACCAAGGGTCTGATTAGGGAGGGCTTTAAAAGCCAGAGAGGATTTTATATTTGATCCCAGGGGCAAAAAGAAGCCAGAGGAGTTTACTAAATGGGAAGGTGACATGGTGAGACTTGTGCTTTGGGAAGATCAATTTAAGAAAGTGAGCACTGCAAATCAAAAAGGCCAAAGTACTTGCACCTTGCTGTAATGCTCTCTTCAGGGTACATATTAGAGATATAGAAAAAGGAGCCAGAAAATTATTAAGCTGCCCTTTATTTGCAATATAAAATGGACCCATGTTATAATAAATTCTATTACTAGTGAAAGATGAAGAACTTGGACTAGCAATTTCTGTGAGTCCCATCCAGTACTAACACCTATGTTCCTGTGATTGCCAAGATACCTTCTAAAGCTAGATTCTGTGGTCCCATAATATTGCCAGAATATAGAATACTCTTTTGATGCATTAGAATACGGTTTGCAGTATTATATTCTGAAGGCTCATCTAATGAGACTGAGAAAATAAACTCTCACTTCAACAGATATTTATTAGATACCAACTATGTGAGAGACACCGTGCTAGGGATCTGCAAAAATTTTTAAATAAAACAGTTCCTGCCTTCAAAGAGCTTGCAGACCTAAAGCGGGGATGAGACAAGTATAGTAATAACCATAATGCAAGTTAGAAGATGATTAAGTACACAGGAGATGTGGCTTTGAAGTCAGAGGAAAGAGGACCTAGTACATAGGTTCAAATCCCAGCCCTGTGCACTCGGTAAAATAAGGGGACTGTACTAGCCTCTAAGGTCCCTTCCACCTCTCTACCTAGGAAACTATGTCACCTAATCTGGGCCTTGTAGGAAGAAAACAAAGTTTTCAATACCTATAAAGATAAGGTGCAATACATTTTAGTCACAGAATGGATATGAGAGGGCAGAACAGGGATTCCAGTTTGGTAAACAGAATTTATAAAAGGCAGTACTGTGGAATTAAGACTGGAAAGAGAGACTGGAACCTAAATGCCTGAGTATAAATAAAAGTGTGCAAGAACATGTATATGTGTGTGAGCCTGGTTTGTTTTCTCATCAGGATAAGTTGTGGTTATTTTTCTTTTTTTGGCATGGCAATTGGGGTTAAATGAGTCACACAGCTGATAACTGTTATATGTCTGAGGCTGGATTTGAACTCAGGTCCTCCTGACTCCAGGGCCGCTGCTCTATCCACTGTGCTACCTAGCTGCCCCTATAAGTTGTGACTTTTGAGTAAGACTTATCCTTCTTGAACTGTCTTCCCTCTTAGTATCTCTAGCCATAACATCATAAATCTTTCTTCCAAACTTTCTGAAATATGTATTTTTTAAGTCTAAAGTACATGTCTAACTATTTCTAATATTCCCCTCCTTGGATATCATGAGTTCTAAAATGATATGGTGACTTTTTCCCAAGGTTCCTATCTTTTCTATTCCTATCATCTACAAGGAATACTGGTCAAATTTGTTGATGACAGTGCAGAGATGGATGGCTAACATATGGTACACAAAAGAGGGCAAAATCTAATGAAATTAATTCAAGAAAGACAAATATAAAGTTTAACAAAGTAGGTTCAAAAAATGCACTTCTGGAGTACAATTTTGAGGAGGCATGGTTAAACAGCAGTTCAGCTGTAAAAAATAGGGATCTTTAAAGAAATATAAGCTCGAGGAGTCAAACACGTGATATGGCAGCCAAGAAAGCTAATGCAATCTTACGCAGCACTTAGATAATATAAATATAGATATTTTATTCAGCTCAACAGACAATATAAAAATAATAGTCTAAAATCCTCCCTTTCATTTTTAAGCCTTCCATAACCTAGTTCTACCCTACTTTTCTCATCTTGTCACATAGTATATCCCATCCAACCCCTTTACTCTGCAATCAAGTGACAGTGGATACCTGGCTTCATTACTGTAAGACTTCTCTCACTCTCCCACCATATCCCCTTGTAGGGCACCTTCCCTGTGCCTCCCCTTCCCATTTGCTTTTTGGCTTTCATTTGTGTGTTGTCTTTCCCCATTAAGCTCCTTAAGGGTAGGAACTTTTTTTCGGGGGGGGGGGGAAGGGATACATCCAGAGTTTAACACAGTCCCTGGCAAGTCGTAGGTACTTAATAAATACTGACTTTGCTGCTTTTTTAACCCAACACTCCATCTCTGGATTCTGAGCGTTTTCACTGACTGTCTACCAGGCCTGGCACATTCCCTCTTTATACCCCCATCTTGGCTTCCCTCAAGTCTCAGATAAAGTTCCACTTTCTACAAGAAGCCTTTCCTAGTCTTCTTAATCTTAGTGCCTTCCCTCCAAGATGATCTCCAGCCTACCCTGTAACATACCTGTTTGTATATGGCTGTTTTCTGCTCTCTTTCCCTATCCCATTAGACTATGAGCTCCTTGAGGACAGGTAGTTAATAAATGTTTACTGAGTGATTGATTTCTACATCTTTATATGAAGAAATGTAAGTTTATTAGCAGCCCTTCTTCATACCAAAAGTACATGAGACATTGTTATCATCTCAGTGAACTTCCTCACTTATTTCTTGGTTGTGAAAGTAGAGGCCTGCTGATCATTTCAAAAGGTTTGATGAGGATAATTTGTGACTATACAGTGATATTAATTTGCTCTTTAACTTATTCCCATACCAATCAGTTTATTTTTTACTATACAACATTTATAAAAGTGTAAAACTACTCCTGGGGGAAAAAAGGGGTTTTTTTGAGAATATGACTGCTAGGAATGCTAGACAACCTCATCTAGATGTCCCAAAGGCATCTCAAACTCAGTAATGCCAAAATAGAACTTACTATCTTTCTCCAAAACCCATCCCTTTTCCTAATTTCCCTATGTTTGTTGGGGACATGATCATTCTTCCAATCGCCTAGATTTATAGTCATCCCCAACTCTCCCAGTCAACTGATGAATCCTGTTGATTTTTACTTCCATAAGACCTCTCCCATCTTTCTCCTCTCCACTCACATAACCACCACCCAAATTCAGATCCAAATCATCTCTTAACTGCATTATTCAAATAGCCTATTAATTGGCCTCCCTGCATTCAGTCTCTCCCCTCTCTAATTTATCCTTCAGCTGTAGTTGCCAAATTAATATTCCTAAAGTACAGGTCTGACCATGTCACTCCCTGACTCAAGAAATTCCAGGGGCTCCAAATGCTTGCAGAATGAAATAAAAACTTCTCTCTTTAGCATTTAAAGCTCCACACCACCATTACAGGTTGGTTACGTATTACTCCATGTCACATGCTCTAAATTCCATCCAACTCATTGTTTCTTGTACATTAGATTCCCTCTCCTGCCCATGACTCTCCACTAACTGTTCTGCAGGTCTGGGATGCTCTTCCTCTTCATCTCAGCATCTTAGAACCCCTAAATCCCATAATAACTTAGCTCCAGTGACACCTTCAAAAAGTCTTTCCTGATTTTCCCAGATTTTTATTATACTTCTTTCTGCCCATAACTTTGTATTTAATATGTATATATTTTAAGTTTTCTTCCAAGAAAATTCAAGCTCTCTGAGGGTGGAGACTAACTTGTTTTGTCCTTGTATAGTGCCTAGCACAGTGACTGGCACATATGAGGAGATTATGCATTCCTTATTGAATTCAATTACTCAAATGTATGGCCAAAATTATCAATACGACAACAAATGAAACAAGCAAAATTTTAAAATATATACACTTTCCAAACTCTAGAATTTAGTAACAGTTTTAAGGAATGAACTGCTGATCAGAGACAGATAAACAAAAAAAGATATTTTATATGATCCCCGAAAAAAGGGGGAGAAAGGCTCAACATATAGCAATTAGAGAAGGTCAGTAACACATAAACACCTTTCATACCTACAATCTGATCAACAACATAAAGAAGTAAACTTACTATTTTCTTGGACTCTGGCCACAAATCCCATTAAAGGCAACTGAGGAGTTACCTGTAGGATGGATGGAGGAGGAGGAGCAAGAGATGCTGAAAAAAAAAAGGGGGGAGGAAGGTGGGGCTCAAGTTATATTAAAAATAAAAGATAATACGATAAAATTAATGGATAAAGACATGAAGCCACCCACTATTCAGAAATACTTGGTAAGATGTCATGTGGGCCCTTTTAAGGAGGGAAAAAACAAAACAAAACCCCTTTTAAAAACTTCTTCAGTACTTCAAGGAAGTTGAAATGTGGAGTCTATGAACTTGGTTTGAGCAGTCCTCCAAGAATAGACACAGAACCTGCCACATCTTGCCCTCCAATGTCACATGCTTTAGAACCCAAGATTACCACCCATGTCATCATGAGACATCAGAGTAGGGTATTAAAAGAGATTTTAGACACCGACTTTAAAATTAAAGCAAAATTCATTTTTCATAATGTATTTACCATAAAGGTTTCAACTAGTGTTAATCACTTATTAATAATTTCATACCAAAAGCTACACATCATCTCTTCAATTAAGCATTTCTCTACATTGCTATAAACAGATTAAGGCTTTTTTTTGCATGTGTATGTACATATCAACTTACAGTTTATATTCTTAGGCTTATAATTACCATAGTTAAAGAAAGATGTGAAATGACTATAACATGACATTTTTTGCTTTTCACTTCTATATTATTAGACAAACAGGTGGATTAAACTATCCTAAAATTGAGTGAGCTACTGTAGAACCAAATCTTATGTCCTGTTACTCCTCAGACTATAAATTTTTTTTCCAGGGAGTCTAATTTCCTGACTTTCCCCACATCAGCTGCACCAATACCTGGCTTTGTTCCTTCACTCATGCTATTCTCCAACTTGGAACACCATCCCCACTTAAAACCTGCATATTCTTTAAGTTCTACCTCCTCCACAAAGATTTATAAAAGGGGCCCAAGGAAGGGCTGAAGGAGAGCAGTCACACTTAATGCACTGCTGGTGGAGCTGTAAAATGATCTGATCATTCTAGAAAGCAATTTGGAATTATTTCCCAAATCACTAAACTATGTATCTTATGATCCTACTACATCACTACTAGGCTAGAGGGACAGAGGGTAGTGATGAGGTAGAATACTCAAAGAAAGAGGGAAAGGACTAATTTGCACAAAAATTACAGCAGCACTTTTTGCTATAGCAAAGAATTAGAAACAAAGTGGTAGGCTCTCAGGTGGGAAATGGCAGAACAAATTTTGGTATAAGGATGTAATGGAATATTGTTGCACTGACAACAATGATAGAGTAACCTGGGAGGATCTGTATGTATGGTGAAGTGAGTAGAACCAGGAGAACAATGTACGTAATGTCCACAACACTGCAAAGGAAGACAACTGTGAACAATTTAAGAATTATTATCAATGCAATGGACCAATCACAGCTTGAGAACGATTATTATCAATTATGGAGCCTTTGGTGAGTAAGTGGCAGACTGGAAGTGAGGAGTGAAACACAAATTTTCAGACAAGGCCAATTTGTTTTCCCTAACTGTACTTATTTATAACAAGGGAGGGCTTTGAAGAGGGGTGAAGCAAGAGCTATGCAGGATATTCAGAGGATACTTAACAGGAAGGAAGGGAAGAAGGGAGAAACAAAGAAACAAAAGGTCAATAAACCATTTTAAAAACACAAAAGAAACCAAAAGCAAGTTCAGAAAGGGACACAAGCAAAGCAGTATTGAAACTACCATGATAAAATTAATATGCACTTTTTCTTTTAAGAGATTCACAGAGTCATTTACACTGTTCTTTTTCTATTCTTTGTAGGAGGAAATGTTTATGTTTATTGACCCTATCAAGTTCATAACAAGTTTAAAATTTTTTATATAAATAAAAGGGGATCTCAAGATGATGCAGTCCTATGTGTTTACTTCATATGAACAAACCAAGGCCTGAAGAAGTCTGACAGCTTGCCCAAAATGCCAGAGATAATGAGAGTCAAAATTCAACTCACCCCTTCTTGACCAATTATAAATTAGTATTTGTAACATACACTTTGCTACTTGACTGCATTCAATTAATCATTTTATTATATATTATTCTCAATCATTTCACATTTTTTTTTCAAAAAAATTTTTTTTGAATAATCTTTAAGTACAGGAACAGTTTTTCCCTAATTTTGTTTTGGAACTGAAAAGCACTTAAACACACAAATGCTCCGTTAATAGATGCTAAATTGAACTGGATGCCAAGTAGGCTAAGATGGCTCAAGAAAGATGTTTCTTATGCACTACAAAAGCACAGAAATAGAAGGGAAGGCAGCAGCTTGTTAGGAATTATAGGAACCCAGATCCTCCATAAATATACTCTGCAAAGCTCTAAAAATGCACCAGAAAGAACAAAGGTGAAGAAAACTATTGAGAAACCCCTATAAGCTCTTCTGCCCGTTCCAGGACTACCTAAAAGGATTGCAAGAACTCTGTGGAAAATCTGAACAGGAATAAACCAGAGGAGACAGAAGATAAGGTCTACAAGCAGCTTCAGGAGACAGGGCCAGACCAGTGCCCAGCCCAGGGTCCAAGCAGACCATATTACATTAACCTGAACCCACACCCAGGTCCAAGGCACAATAAGAACCAAAGCAGGAGAAAGGACCAAGGCGACACCTGCAAAACAAAGAAGCTAAGTTCTTACATAAGCCTGTTATGAGTACAATTAACACCATTTTTGCAGGGGCCTGTCAAGGGTCACAGGCAGGGACAAAGCCAACTCTGAGTTTGAAAGATTGTGAAAAGAAAAGGTGCCCAATAAAAAATAAAGACCAAAATCTAAGTCTAAGAAGACTAAAACAAAACACAGGAATTGGGGGCAGCTAGGTGGTGCAGTAGATAGAGCACTGGCCCTAGGTTCAGGAGGGCCTGAGTTCAAATCCGGCCTCAGACACTAGCTGTGTGACCCTGGGCAAGTCACTTAACCCCACTGCCTAGCCAAAAATAAAAAAATAAAAAAACACAGGAATTCCCAAAGAAGATTGCGACTAGTTATAAACACTATATCCAGTTCCAAGCAAAACCTGCCCATGCTTCTGAGAGGAGCGTAGTCTGACCTAAAAATAAAGCTCCAATCCCGAAGCTAAGGTCATATTTCTATGAGGACACACAGGAAAATGCCAAACACTATGAAGAAATACTATGAACTAAAAGAAGTCAAAAAGGTAAGCACACAAAAAAAAGAGAGTAAATCCACAACAAGTAAAGCCCCAGAGAAAGGACTATCCTGACCACAAAGACTACAAGAGTATAAATGAAACAGGAAGTACAAAATGTAACATTAAAGGAAATGTCCTCTCAGGAGGAAAGAATGGTAAGGAGAGTTAATATCCTAGAACAGACAATGGTAAACTTACACATGGATGGAACTCTCTGAAAATTATAATTGACCAGAAGGCAATGACTCCATAAAATAAGAGCTATGTTTTTTTTAAACCAAAAGACTGGAAAAATAGTTGATCAGGAAAACAATTCAAAAAGAAAGAATCCCCAAATCACCAGATGACCTAAAAATCATGAACAAAATCTGAAAAGCTTGGATATCATATTTCAAGAAATCATAAATAAACCTATTAGAACTAAAGGGCAAAATAAAAGTAGAAAATCATCTACCTCCTGCAAATCCAAAATGATAACTCCCCTGAATGTTATACACCAAATCCAAAGTGTCTATGTCGAAAAAAAAAAATGCTTCAAGCAGCCAAAAAAGGAAAAAGTGTAAGTATTAAGGAACCAAAGTCAGAGTCACAAAAGACTTGGCAGCTGTCACAACAAAGAGATGAGCTAAGAACATAATATTACACAAAGCAATAAAGGCTTACAAACAAGAATAACTCATCCAGCAAAACAAATATGAACTTACAGAGGGAAAAAAGGATCTTTAATGAAATAAAGGACTTCCAATTCTTCAAAGAAAAAATTCCACATGAGTAGAAATTTCAAAATGCAGGTAATTCAACTGCAGAAGTATTCAACATAAACAAACACCCCAGCTACTGGGATATGAAATCACATTCTAAGAAAACTGGACAGCAGCATAGAAGATAAAATTTAGATCAACATTTCACATCTCATATAAAGAGCAACTCCACATGGGCATGTGATCTAGATATAAGAGGTCATGTCATAAATTAGAGAAACATGGAAAAAATAAACTATCAGGTTTTTGTAGAATAAATTCTACATTACTTTCAAAAAAGACAAGCAAAGCTTTCCTCTGCTCTTTGTGCATTTTGAAAAACATTTAAATGGCCCTCTTTTGGAAGGCATCAGTACTGCTAGCTCTCCCTCTCCTTGATTCCTCTCTCACAATTACCAAGTGAAAAAAAGTGAGGAAAATCCTGCTGACAAATAAACACGGTAAAGCAAAATGAAGCCAAGACAGTGGCCACATCCAAAAATATATGTCTGGGCATCTTGTATCTATCACCTCTGTGAAGAGGTAGATAACACGCTTCATAAGTCTGCTTAAGACAGGGCTACTCAATGTTTTGTTCAGATTTTTAACATCTTTCAAAGTTGTTTTTCTTTACAACACTGTTGTCATCCTGTCTCCTGGTTATGCCCATTTCATACTACCTTGTTCTCTGAAATCATATTTTCCATCATTTCTCCGAGCAGAATTAAGAGTCTATTACATTTGTATACCACAATTTGTTCAGCCATTGTCCAATTATGTTTTTTTTTAATTATTATTATTTTTTTGGTTGGGCAGTGAGGGTTAAGTGACTTGCCCAGGGTCACACAGCTAGTAAGTGTTATGTGTCTGAGGCCGGATTTGAACTCAGTTCCTCCTGAATTCAGGGCCAGTGCTCTATCCACTATACCACCTAGCTGCCCCTATTGCTCAATTATGTAAAAGGCATTCCCTTAGATTCTAATTCCTTTGCTTTCCTTTTTTCTCCCCTTTTAATCCCTCTTCAGGATCAAGAAGTTTATTTTTGCTTGTGACTATTATCCCACTATTATCCTCCCTTTTAAATGTTTCCTCCTTATTCCTTGTTTCCCTACTAAGCTTGA